TTCTCGGGGGCATTATGTTGGGCCAGTTTTTTTTGGTTGAGCTTAGAAGAATTTGGTAATTGATTGGGCTGGTTTGAGTTAAAATCATGGGCCACGGAGCAGGCTTCCAGAGCGCTCAGAGTCCGATTTGGAGAAGGAGGCCTATTTGGTATTGGTTTAGAATTGTGAACTGACTAGGATTTGAGGACTATTTAAAGGGATCGCGGTAGGAGGAAGGACACAATCAAATAGCATCAAATTGCTTCTTTTTAACTTTCATTTTTTTATTCTGATTTTATCTCTAAAGGTAGGGTTCTTCGTAGAACTCCTTGAATTAGACCGATTTTCGGCGGATGTACTTATTCTTCAAAGATTATAATAAATCTGGCCTTTGGCCGATTTTTAATTTTCGATACCTTTATTTTCAAATTGTCAGTACAAGTTGTTAAGAACAACGCACAATCTTTTTGAAATATATTATATAAATTTGCTATTACGAAAATTGGGAAAACAATCATCATATTTTACCTTTATGGTGATCATCAACAATCTATTGAATGCACATCAGATATTGTCTGAATGAGATAAAAAAAAAAAAAAAAAAACTTGATCTGGGAATTGAATGACAATCAGACCAAGGTTCGATTCCCACCAATGGTCCACTTGGTAGATTTTTTTTTTAAAATAAATAAACAACCTGATCTTTATTTATTTGTTGGTGCTGTTGTGTGCTTTTGATGTTTGTTCCACACCATCAATTTGATAATGTCACAGAATAATTCCAATGGGTTGGACTTTTGAGGTGTAAATTTGTGAAAATTTTCGAAGGGATTTTGTTGACTTTGTCACTTCCAGTTTTTTGCGTTGAAAATTGCAAGAAATTGCTCTTTCTCGATGTTGAAATCACTCGTGAGCATGAATGAAATCATAGTATACAACTGGTGCAAGTTTTTCGTTGATGAATTGAACAAAGGATGTGTTCATTTCCAGAAATGAAATGACCTCCTTTTTGGTAATTTCTGAATTTCAGTAATGTATATTCCTGCTTTATTTGATCCTCATTCTGCAACTACTCATTTATTATTATAAAATTTTCTTTGTCCTTTTCAGTTATGCTACTTCGACATATGTGAATTTCGTACTCCTTGAAAGAAGGGTAGTCCCTATTGCTAGATGGGACGAACAGACATTTGAAAGACAGAGCAAGAGCATAAATGGAAGTGGCAGGAGGTTTTGAAGATGTTTGGGTCATCGATCCACTAAAAAGACCAGTGCAACAGCATCTAGAAGTTGCTGGCTGAGCGAATCTACAAAAGAAAGCCAACAGGCGCAAGTACTATATCAATAATCTCATTTGTTTATTGATCGTGTTCAATGATCATAAAATTTACATGCAATAAAGCTGCATGATCATCAAAACTTTACTACATCATCAAAATATTTTCTTAATGATCAACGAAAAAGTTAACTTGATGATCTTCATAAAATTACAATTTCTTGGTCATTTCCAACACAAGAACATTCATTTTATGCAGGACCTTGCTTCACACTACAATAAACTACTGAATCTGATGACTCAGATGTGTGAGGTTCACACCAAAAATCAGAGACATTGAGAAGTCAAGGAATTTCGGTTGAAACCAACCAATAGAAACAATCTCTTTTTGTTTTTATTAAAAAAAAAATTCTATTGCAACTAAAAGTGCTCGCTCGAAAAATATTACACTTTTATTTCTTTTCTTTTTCCGCATCATCGCTGGATAATTTCTTCTTCGAGTTTAAGTAGAATAAAAAAAAAGAACACTGATAAGCAATCAACAATAGCCTTGAATCTTTGATCAAAAAAAGAAAAACAATAGCAATGAATCATTGGATCATTGGCTTCTAATCGTTGATCATTGAGCCGCGGTAGGTCCATATGTCAAAGTCTAACCAAAAAAAGATGGTAGGTTTAAGTTCAATCCAAACAAAGAAAAAGGGTGATATGTCATTTTGATTACGAAATTTTCAATACTAATGATACCATTTCCTAATTAAAAGAATTAGGAGGCATTTGTTTTGTCGCCAGGAAACGGATTGGGAAACAGATTCGAATGACGGCGGATTGGATTCGAAGATTCAAATCCAATAGCACCGTTTGGTTTAAACTCTGGATTGGATTGTAATTTTAAAAATTAGAAAAAAAAAAATTTTTTAAAAAAAAACCATTTCCCCTTCTATTGTTGCTCCTTCTCTTCCTACTCATGGATCCAAATTGGACGACGGTGGTGGCGGGGGTTTTCCGTTTTTGGGTTACTGATTAATTTGCTTCCTACCAGGGTTGAATCGATTGATGAAGAAGACCCAATATTTAAAAACCTTTTTAACGATGACGAACGGTAATTCTGAAATCCATAAGCCAGAATTTGTCTTATCGAATCTCATGAGAACACGATTACCCATCGAAGGACGGCCGATCGAGCCCCTGTATTAGAGTAAGATAAGGGGAAGGTCACAATTGGATCAGGGAAGAGAGATATTGGGTTGCTTCTAAATTGAGATCTAACTCAAGTTTGATACTTTTCTGATTCTACTTGACGATCCCTCGGTGTGATTCTCGTTCAATTTTGATGAAGTCGTGAGTTTCATTGGAATTTTGTGAATGACTTGGAATTTTTTTTGGGTTGTTCTCTGCAAGTTTACTGGGAAGAGGTGTGAGGAGGGAGGAAGAAAGGAGGACAGAGGAGGGAGAACCGAGGAGAGAGGAGAGAGAAATAAAACATTTTTAAAAAAATAGAAAAGGATTCAGAAAATGATTAAGTCGAATCATGGGGGAAGGAGTAGGATTGGATCTATCAGATTCGACCATTCCCAGGATTCACGAATCCAATCAACCAAACATTTCAATGAATTCCGAATCCGAATCCTGAATCCGATTCACGTAAAACAAACGGCTCCTTAGACCATTATCTTAGAACAATCAAACATTATCCTTTTTTTGAAGAGTTTTGGCCCTACCAACTAAGTAGATGTGATTTGGAATCACGACATTTTATACTCTGCAATAAGTACAATACATCATTCAATAATTGCATACATTGAAGTAATATCTTCATCGTCTTAAAATAACTACTATATTTTTTATTTCTTCTTCAATATACAAACTCGTCCCCATGTCATTCACTCAACTATCATCCTATTGTTTTCCAAAGAAGATCAAAACAGAAAACCATCATCTAAAGTAAAAGCATAAGGACATTGCGCCTTAAGGTGATTGTTGGCTTAAAAAGTAGTAAACCAATCGGAAATATGAGAGAATAAAATATTTTCCAATCCTAATTTTTCTACTTACAACAAATTCTTCAATTCTTTTGTCACTCGAAACAATTGTCTAATTTGTATTATTATTATTTTGTAGTACAAATTACACTAAAAATATTTAGTGAATAACTTATTAAATGAATTAATAGCAGTGACCAAGGATTACTTAATTTAAAATTTAGAAGCAATCTATATCTATATCTATAATAATCTATATTAAAGGAGAGTTTTCAATTGACATGTGTCGTGCAATGGGATACTCTAGAGCTATTGTGCCATGTGTCATTAGGGAAATCTTCCTTCATTAAAGTGTAAAAAAGTTTTGTAAATAGTCAATTTAAGTTTACTATTTAACCTATTTATAATTAACAATAGATTATTACCCACATAGCCCAACCAGTTGTGTCTCAAGTACACTTCTTTTAATGCTTGTGTATCAATGTAATTAGTGATATCTATAAGATATATATTTAGACACTCTTTAACCCCCACTCATAAAACATTAATGATAATTTTGAACAATAATTTTGTTAAAAATTATTTAGGTTTTTACTCTTTAATTTTTTTTTGTTGTATTTTCATGTTTGGATTATATATTAAGTTTGAAAAAATTTAGCATACGATAAAGTATAAAGAGTTAGTAAAAGGTTTGATTTTAACATAAAAAAAAGATATTTTAACCTTGAAAATTTACATTTATTTAAACATTTATTTTATTTTGAGTTCACTAAAATCTATAGTGACTTTACTGAAATTATTTGAAAAAATTATGAGTTCATGATAAACATGTTATTATGTAATTTATTAGTATCTCCGTCCCACAAAAATAGTCAATATTGAGTTTTTAAATTTGTACTAAAAACAGTATAAAACTCAAAACTTAATATAGACTATTTTTGTGGGACGGAGGGAGTAATTATTATTTCAAAAACTATACCATGAATGATTCATAATAATATTATAAATTCTTTAAAATCTAGACTAAATTAAATATTAAATATAAATTTGTAAAAAAAGTAAATGTAAATTCAAAGAACACAACACGGTCAAGAATTACTACACGATGACAAAACTTGATATAAATTATATTATATTGCGACGTTAATGTTTCATTTACACACAAAAGAATTATACAATCTTACACTATATACCATATATTTAATTCAATCCGTGCAATACATGGGAATAATTCTAGTATATGTCAGTAGGAGGTAGCACTAAGGTATCGGGAGACAATAAGTGCAGAAAAGGAACTCATACCCTCCAAAAAAAAAAAGTTGGATGAAGAGAAGGGATAAACCCAAAGAAGATGAAAGGATGAACATTTATGTGTCAAGATGTAAGCTTAAATTTTCAACCAATTATTCACCTAATAATTGCGTAAAACTTATAAAGACGAATTAATCATTATTATAACCACTAGTATTTTATTTCACTGACATACTTTGTGAAGCGGAAGGGGATGAATATATAGATGTCAAACAGGTAGTTGACACCGAAGAGAATTGGAGGAGCCTTTTCACGTGAAAACCATACACTCATACATGGACTTAGTCCCATTCCCACGTGATTTTCTTGTCCTTTTCCTAGCTTTTTTATTTTCCAGAAATTATTTTCCATAAAAATAATAAAGAAAATAAAATGGAAAAAAAGGCCACTCTCATACAAACCGCCATATGTGTTTTCTCTATAAATAAGAAGGTCATTCCATCTTCCGTATTCCACTCACTGAGCTATATTTAAGAATAAGGAATTCGTAATCTCTTTGTGATTCATCAAAGCCTTCTTAATAGTTAACAATCATTTTTTCTCCAAAGAATTTCATCGAAAGATGAGTTACTTTAGGAGAGCTTGGTTGGCCGGCAGCGTTGCCGTCTTAAACAGCCACTCCGATCAGGGATTGAACAAACTGAAATTCCCCGCCCAAAGGGGTCTCCAGAACAACAAGAAACGGTTTTTTGCCGGCATCCTCGCAGGCATGCTGGGCTCCGATGTGGAAGGTGGATGTTACGTCAGAAGAAGTGGAGATGATCAGAGGAACACTAAACGAACCGACGAGTCTCTCCGGCAAGTTATGTACTTGAACTGCTGGGGCCCGAGCTAAGAAATCCCTCCGGCTAAAGTTGGTCGCTAAGTCTTAAGTGTTTTGTCTTGCCGGCGGCGAAAATTTCCCGGCAAGGGAGAGACAACAGTCGGGTGAACATACTGCCGGAGTACTGCGCTTGGTGTATCGAAGGAAGGTGAGAGCGACGGTTGACTCGGCGGTGACAAAGATCGGAAAGGATGATTCCGATGAAAGGTTAGACGGAAACTAAGCACTGTCTAGATGTAGATGTAAATGTACATATTTTGAACAATTAAATGAATGAGAAAATGTCTTTGATCCTAACTTCTCTGTTTGTTAAAATATCTTGAAGAACGATTTAATCATGAAGATTTCGTTTTTTTTTTTTTTTTTGATATTAGAAGGTTATATCTGGTTTAGATTTGATCCATCCAGGCTATCCAGTGGATTAACAACTTTTGCAAAAGGAGCTAGTATTTCAAGAATGATTGTCTTTTCCAATTGAGCATCTCTTTTGCACTGAAACATTATTGAATTTGGTCCAAAAATATTATAGAAAGAAGTTTTTGGTCCGAAATGATTAAAAAAAAGTTTTAATACAGGGATCAGCGGTAATTGATCATCAATTTCATCCATTTAAGGGATTCGCCTTCTTTTCGTGTTATGATTTCACGTTACGAAAGATGAGTAGCCAAGGTGTCTTCTATACAGTGATTTTTGATTCATGGAGCTAAGGTGTTTTAGTAGTATCTTGTTTGGTCCAGTTCCTGTTATAAAAGGGTAGGAATTGCAACTTTATGATCAAGCGTAAAAAAATCACGCAGTATTTTCGCTTTCGAATTTCAAGCAAACAAAAATACAAAATGCACTAATTTTAAAAAATTGAGTCGTTTCTTTTCTTTTTTTGAGCAAAACAAATTGAGTTGTTGATCAATTAATAATAGAATCATGTATTTTGCTTAATGCATTATACAGTTTCAAATTATTATTAGTGGCTTAGGTTATTGATCTATGATTGATCCAATCGTCTCCGAAAGAGCCAATAGCGGGACCAGAGTATGTGGATAGTGGACCAATATAATGACTTCTAATATTAGTCAACTTCATCGATAATTGATTTTGACCCACAACTCAAAATATTAATTATTTTCCTTAAAAATCAACATTGAGTTTTTAAATTTGTAAACAGTGTAAATCTTAAAACACAATATAAAATATTTTTTGGGATAGAGGTGTGCGTACACATTCAGCATGCCAAATGCCAATGACAATTGACCACTCAAAAAATTTACCTGGTGTCAGGATAAAAAAGGGGTTTTCAAATGGAGGATTAAGGTTAGAAAGGCAGAAAAGGAGAATCGTAAAGAAAACCAGAGCGAATTTCTAATTCAGAGAAGAAAGAAGGAACTGGAAGATAATAAGATTGATAATTTTGCATAATAATGAATGATCTGGGGTTCTTGGGTACAGCACCATGTGCTATATATTACTCAAAAAGGAGTAAGAGTTGCATCAGAAAGAGAACAAGCCAAACCAGCAAGGCCATGAGCAAGTTGCACTTACTGTCGAGATACCAATTTTCAAAAAAAAAAAAAAAAAAAAACTGTCGAGATACCTTACAAACTACAGTAAAAGAAAAACAAGCTAAACGATGTAATATATCTGATGTCAAGAAACATATCTCCTTTGGGGGCTGCCTTTGGTTTCGAAGAATCTGAACTAACACAAGACAGTCAGTGCATAACACCAAATTAGGGTGAGCCGACGGATCGACTGTGTCCAAGGCATAGAGACACGCAAAAGCCTCCGCCTGAAGGCGAGAGATTGTCAGGAAGGCACAACTGCCACTAAAAACAATTTCATCATTAGATAGAGTGAAAAACCAACCTGCACCCGCCATGCCTGAATGAAGGATGAAAGCACCATCAACCCATAAGCTGGGAATGTTAACAGGGAGTGATTGCTCAACAAAAGTTGCACCTCCCAAACTCGGCTGAAAAAGAGGAGGAGGATGATACATATGATACTCTAGCATTGCTGGTTGAACAACCATACGAGGAGGCAAAAGGGGGCCATCCTAAAAAAATAGCACGGTTTTGATCCTTCGAAATTTCCCAAAGAAGGAACATAGACTGACAACACAAGTCAGCATCAGGCAACCGTTGTATCCAATCAACGAACCAAACATCAAAAGAACAGGGAGACCCCACAGAAATTAAAACCAAAAGGAGAAATATGCCAAATAATTAACTTGAGGTTCACAATCCAAGAGCATGTGACCAACTATTTATGCATGCAGACCACATCTAACACAAATGGGGGCTGGTACAAGGTTTCGATGATATAATGCTTGGAGTGTTGGACATGCATCTAATAAAGCTCACCATATGAAAAATTTGATGCGGTCCGGGAGTGCGGCTGTCCAAAGTTTCTTCCACACCAGTTTTGGTATAACTGGGAGAACTTGAGAAGTAGATGCACATGCAACTGGACCCGCCTTCAAGTTGCAGGCTTGATGATAAGCGGAGCGCACTATGTATGTACCAGTAGCATCGAGTGTCCAATATAAGGCATTTTGAAGATTATGAGAAACACGAGGCAGATGCATACTGATAATGTGATGAATAATATGTTGTGGGAAAAGAACCTGCAAAAGGGGAAGGTGCCAATGACCGAATGATAGAATGAGATCGGAGACTTTTAGGGAATACAACCGAAGGACAATAAGCCAAGGGATTATGATTTACTGGAATCCAATCATCAGAAATGCAAATATGCGAGCCATCAATAACTTGCCATTTAAAGCCAGTTTTCAGAAGGTCTCTAGCCCATAAAACACCCTGCTATCCCCAAGTTGCCCGCGTGCCTGGTTGGACCGAAAGGAAGTCAGAATTCCGACAATATTTGGCTTTACACAGTCGAGTGAGAAGTGCTTGCGGTTCTCGCAGAACCTTCACGCAAGACGTCCCAACAAAGCCTGATTCATTTCACTTGTCGATTGCATTCCAAGACCTCCATGAAACTTAGATCGACAAATAGTACTCCAAGCCTTCCAACGGACTTTATAGCCATCATGATCCCCCTGCCATATAAATCGAGCCAACTGCTTGTCAATGGACTCTGTCACCAACGCAGGAAGCTTGAAAATGCCCATTGAATACTGAGGTAGTGAACTGAGCACATGTCTAGCGAGGACAACACAACTGACGACTGATAAAGACTCTATCTTGTAGCACGCAATCTTTCGCTGAATGAGCTGAGAAATGGGTGCAAAGAGTGCACTACGCTTTTGTGAGAAATTCAATGACATGCCTAAATAGCGCCCACTGAAGAAGCTTTTGCCAACACAGAGAATGAGCCGAAGAAGAGTACTAAAAGAAGAAGGTATATTAGGACTAAGGTCATAGCAGATTTATCAAAATTGATGTGCTGGCAAGAATAGCGCGCATAACCATCAATAATGTGCACTAGAAGATAAAAGGTAGACAGTCGGGTATATGTAAAGAGTAAGCGGTCATCAGCATACATAAGGTGGGAAATAATAGGAATTCCTGATGCAATTTGGACCCCGATACCACTCTTTTTATCTACTCTCATAGTGTTGCAAGACCGATGAGAAAGGCTGTTGAGCTAAAATAAAGAGAAATGGTGAGAGAGGACAGCTTTGACTAAGGCCCCGCATGGAGTAAAGAAAGAAGATTAAGTCCCATTGAATCGCATGACAAAGGAAACAGTCTCAACACATTGTCTAACATACCCGATATAGCTTTCAGGGAAGTTCATATGTAGCAACACTTGATGAAGAAAAGACCAAGAGACACGATCATACACCTTGCTCATATCCAACTTAAGGGCTATCATTCCTGATTTCAGCTTCTTGCAATGTCGAATGTGTTCCATAAATTCATGAGCAATGAGAACATGCTCATTAATAGAATGGCCCGGCACAAAGCCTGTTTGTTGGACTGTGATCAAAGAAGACATTAGAGGTATGAGTCGATTCGAAAGAACTTTAGCAATGAGCTAATATTCAACATTACACAGACTTATAGGTCGGAAGTTTGCTGGTACTTTACTCATGCGAACCTTTGGAATAAGAACAATTGCGGTCTGATTCCACTTCGATTCAATAATTGATTGATCAAAGAAACTGAGTATTGCTGCAACTAATGATGCTTTGACTTCCTGCCAGTAGTGTTGGAAGAAGCCTGCCGGCATACCATCTGGTCCAGAAGCCTTCCACGGCTGCATTTGCCATAGTGCCACACAGATATCATGCTTCGTGATGGGTTGTTGGATTTGGGTTTGTTGGTCCGCACTAAGGGAAGGCAAGTACTGCAGAAGATTATTAAGATCGATTTGGGATGCCTACAACTCTGGATGTAGAGGAGGTGGCAGATACAAATCTGGCTGCGTATAAACCTCACAAAAATGAGATGTGATCATCAGTGAAAGACTTGTGGTGTTTGCTTCCCAAGACCCATCAGGATTATGAAGATCTGTGACCCAATTATGACCTTGCCTCGGAGTAGCCAAATGATGAAAAAGTCGAGTGTTTCGATCCCCCTCCAGTTTAATTGTGCTCACTGCTGCCAGTAGGATTCTTGATATTCTAATAATTGATCCAGCTGATGCCTAAGCTTCTAGTCTTGTAAGATTTGAGAAGGATCACGTGAAAGTGTTGTTTGTGCCGTCTCAAAATTCTGCAGAAGCAGCTGAATGCGATTATCTAAAGCTTTATACGACTTTTCATGCCAATTGGTGAGATGATGTAGAGTACCAGCCAACTGCCTTGAGACATTTGCATCAGAGAGTCGACCAATGGAAAAGCTCCCCAGAAACGACAAACAATTTGATGAGCTGCTGAATTTTTAGCCCCAAAGGCTTCAAAGAAGGCCAACTGAGTGGTCTTCTTAGGATGATATTGAGTATCAGTAAGCAAGGGTCCATGATCAGAACGCATGATGGGGAGGTTACGCAGAAGAGCATGGGGAAACACATGACGCCAGGGATAGAATGCCAAAGCACGATCATGGTGTTCGTACACTTTGTAGATGAACGATTATTAGTCCAAGTGTACCAAACATCCTTGTGTCAAAGTTCTATTAAGCCTAAAGCAGAGGTCAAAGCCATAAGAGAAGAAGCCCTATCTAGATTTAAAGGAGCCCCGCCAATCTTATCATTTGAAGAGAGAACTTGGTTGGAAGTCGCCAGCAAATAGGACAGGATAGTCAAGAGGGCATATAGCATTACTAAGCTGTTGCCAAACAGAGGGCATATGTACAACAACTGGAGAACCATAAACGAAAACCAGCAACCATTCGAGCATATTGCATTCAACTACTTTAAAACAAACAAAGTGCTCGTCCTTAACTACTACTTGCATATTCACACTAGCTAACCAAACAACAGCAAGACCACCCGCAGAATTATGTGGCGCGACCGTCTCCATATGTGCAAAATCAGTTGATTGAAACCAAGAATTCAGTTTAGGCAACTTACAACGAGTTTCGATTAAGAACAATACCTGTGGGTGATATGTTGCGTTCAGTCAGCGCAGAAGGAGAACTGTAGGGCGTTGGCCGAGACCCCTACAGTTCCAAGAAAGTATTCTCATGGATGATTGGGGGGTTGCTTTGGGGCAACCACCGAAACCCCGTCACATTCAGATTCCCTGTCATCTAGTATAATGGGCCGATATGCTACCGTGGCATTTTTAGAAATGGTCTCCTTGAGTTGCTTGCAGCGTGATTTTTGTATAGCGCCTGCTCTCGAAGTACGTAGACCTAGGCTGAAACGAAAGTTACAACCTTCAACATCATTTTCTCTATGTATGCCCTGCAAATATTCAATTCGGCTACACTTCGTATGTGGGTTGTCTACAGCCAATTCATCCTCCAAAAGATTCCGTAAATCCCCTCAACTCACCTTGCGATGGCAATTAATCATGACTGTCGAATAAAATTGATAGCGACAGGAGGCTGTAAGCAGAAGGGGCTAGACATGACATGAGCAATGAGATACCAACTGCTCCTTAAGCTGATTGGGCCTGTCGAAAGTAGACATACATACTGGATATGTTAGAGGGCCTAACGAGCTAAGCTGATCTAGTAAAGGGACAAGGTGATTGGGCTGAATGAAGCAACCCATTTCTTGAAGGGGGCTAGTTTGGCCGTTTGTCAAAGAACTATCGCAATTTTCTTCAAAGTCTACATCGTTATCCAGAATATGATGACAGTCTGATGGCGTCACATCTGAGGTCACCCCGATCCGAGACCGCTTCGAGCTTATGATCCGAACACTCGCCGCCTTCGGCCATCACACCCGGCAAATTCTTATCTGCTCCATTAGTAACCACCTCGAAATCGGCCGTTTCCATCTTGTCGGTGAAGGGGCCATTTTCCATCGGTTTTGGTACTGGCTGCCAGGCTGGGTGTTCGCGACATATCTTTGCGATGATCGCTAGTGGGAGCCGGAGTAGAGCAGCCGAATAGCTCTCACGATTGCGGCGTCCTCGATCTCTTCGTCGACGATGGCTCCTGAGGCCAGATCCCGGGACGGCCTGAGCGAATGATGGATGAATTGTAGGATCTTCATCTACTCTAGTGAGGGTAACACCAAGAAATGAAAGCCTTGTCGATTGTGGCATCTCTCCATCTGAATGAAGGCCTGATGAAAAGGATGTGAGTGGTGCAAAACACAGCTGGAGTTTAAGCAATTCTACCACATAGCAATCTCTTAGCAGTATGTATATACTGTCGGACGCCGCCTCTCGTAGCTATTCCTAGTTCATACATCAGAAGTTTGCCCCGACAGAGGAACTGGAATTCATTCCGATTGATTAGATCTAGAATCTTCGATGATTACGGTTCTTGGGTACAAGATTCACATGGTCTGGGAGTTTTTGTCATGAAAGAATTGATCGTACTCTCTCTAACAACAAATGGGGGGTTTTTTTATAGAGGATTTCTTTTTCAAAACTTCTCCCACAAGGTCCGTGACACCAGGCCAGCCCATCACATAAACCTGTCCATGACCCGTCCCCGAGAAAAAAATGGTCTTTGGTACTATTCCTGTCACAAAATGTATGTCTACTTTGAACTTTCTACTTTTAATATATTGTTCATTTTGGATTTTTCAATTTTTAGTGCAAATTTATAATAAACGCGAAAATAAAAATTTGTAAGAAAGTGAGAATCTAGTCTAAAAAATCGATTCGAGAGGGCATAAACATAAACGATAAATGCAAAGCTTTATTCCAAATTGATGGTTAATAAAAAGAATTTGTAACCAAACAAAGAAATTGTGGTTTCAATTTACAAACTCTACAAGATACAAAATGCACGTCTTGAAAATGAAAAATTGATACTGTCTCATCGTAGGACTACATTTTCAATCTCATGCGTCCATCATATTTTATGAATAGTTGAATTGTTTGAATTAATTAATTTGGCAAACCATCAAGACAAAGCCATTCCCCGACGAAAAGTGTACTGCAATTCAGATTAGGGTTCAAAGCATTGAAGAAGTCGGCTGTCATATTAAAATTCTGAATAATGCTGAAGCATGTTTCACCACCTTGTGCTCCATAAATCTTGTCACATAATAGTACTGAATTATCACCTGCACTTAAATCATTTGGAACACAATTGAAAACAAAAATCTACATAAATAAATCCTTAGAAAAGACTTAATATATAGCGGGTAATTAATCATCGAAATGATCTCTTACATGCTTTTATTTCGTAAATTATTTTATACTGTGCAAGTATGTCATGTGGAAATAATCAACCACAAGTCAAATAGAGAGGATAAATATCGAGGGGTCTACAGATATCAAAAAAGAGAGGATAGTAATTAGGACTGGTCATTTTGACCCACGGTTCGGGTCAAACCGATGATCCGAACCGAACCGATCCGAAAATTTAGTTTCGGTTCGAATCAATTATTTGAAAGAGTAGAATGGTTTGGATCAGTTCGGGTTAAGTAAATATCCAAGTTGAACCAAATTAATTTAAATAAAAAATAATAATAATAAATTTCAATAGTTTTCAACGTTGACCGCCACTGACCGCTGTTGAGCGCCGCCGGCAACAATTTCCAGCCAAAAATTCCGATACATCGTCCAAATTGATTTTTCTGGCCAAAAATTCCGGCGATATTGCCGGAAAATCGATTTTTCTTGCGCCGGCAAGATGACATTATCGTAATATTTTGATGATATCATCAAATACAAAATGATTCTTTTTGGGTCAATTCGGTTCACACCCAAAATTTAACCCAAACCAATCCGAACCGAACTATAGTGATCCAAAAAAAAGTTGTCCCATTTCCGAACCGATCTAAACTAACGGTTCGGGTCGGTTTTATATAAAAGAACAGCCCTAATAATAATGAAAACTCATTGTTGATTGTAGCTTTGTAATTGAATTAGGATGCATATAAAAGGGGACGACCATTTGTGAGTGATTGCTGGTACATACCGCTACATGAAAATGTGTATTAGCACAACAAATCTGATTACTATTTTGCGACGAAGGAAATTGAAAATTAATTGAAAATGAACTGTACCCGTAAAAAATCTTTGCTCAGCAGCACAAATACTGGTGAAAAGCAGAAGTAGCACCGTAGAAAAATTAAGTAACATGAAGCTTTTTTTGTTTGCCATCAACTTAGAACTGAAGTTTTCTTGAAACATCTTTCCTTTTTTCTTTATTTTTTTTTTGGGGTTGAGTGTGATTGTGTTGTGGCTTAGATTTATACCAATTTATGTTGAAAGGGACACTAAAGAGTGTCTCCAAGATTTTCGTTTCTTCCGTCTCTAAACTCACAAGGTGGCCGGCTTTGTTGCATGTTAAAAATCCAACACATCAGTTAGAACTTAGAAGTATTATTGTCCCGAGCCGAAAAGTTAATTAACAATGAAGATAACTTTGTTGCATGTTAAAAATCCAACACATCAGTTAGAACTTAGAAGTATTAACAATCTCTAAACTTTCATTGCAAAATGAGAGTTTAGAGATTTTACTCCTAGAGTTTAAATTTTTAGTAGCATACCTTCTTTCGACACACAATGAAGATAATTAGTCGAAATCGATAAATCAAGTTAAACACGTGACTCACTTTTAACAATACACTTTTAACAATACGTGATTCTGGTAAAATATATTTATTTAACAATATGCTTTTTTTTTTAGAGTAGTGATAGGTAAAGGGAAAAATCACAAGGAAAGCTTACAAATAATGATGTATCATTCATTAAAATTATGTCATAACCTTAAATGTTTAAACCCCAAATGAAAAGTTTTAAGAATGAATGGCTATGATCAATTCCTTGTCATTTTTTCCCTCCCCTAATCATTATCCTTTGTTTATTGTATACATATATAGTCCCAAGGAAAGTTGAGCTTCCGACCTTTAAAATTCAAGTATCCAACCATTTTCCACGCAATTTATCATTGTATGTATTCGTTAATGCTGTGATATAGAAGTATTATCGAGTAGCAGCAAAATTATTCAAAAGATGGAAAAGGTTGTCAACTAATAAGATTTACCGAGTCAATTTTTGACATCACACAAGAGATAAGTAACCAGGCCAGTGTTCATGATCATGATGAGTACCCCAATGTGTTGCCGGCCGGCTACCGAGACAAAACAACCGTGCCGACCAAAATTTCTTGGACATCTGAATAAAAGGTAAAATCTTGGCATGAATATGAATGTTTGGTGTTTCCAATGCCAATTTTCAGCTTATATATATGCATCCATATCATTATTCAGACACATAGTAAAAAAAGAAACCAGAAAACGTCTTTCTTAAATTTCATCAACAAAGAAATTAAGAAATGGCCCAGACTAAAATGGCAACCATACTCATTGCCGTATTTCTTCTTACAAGCTTGGCTGTCGAGGGCAGGGTTGTAAACCCTGGTAAGCACAATGGATTACTAGTTTTTTTCCTCGCGTAATGAAATTAAGTCATTCATTTTTTGCCAGTATTAATTAATACTCCTTTTGTCCCACTTTATTAGTTTGATGAATTAGTATTAAAGTGGAACAGAGGATCATGAATTAATCCATTTTGGACATGATATATCGCATTTAAATTAAGTTACAAATATAGTACTTTTTTTCTAACCTGGATATACCACTATTTTATTTGTTTGAAACACACGTATCCTTAGTTTCTAGTTATCTCAACAAGATATCTTTTATCGCTAGTTAATTAGGGCAATGTTATTATTTGAAAAGTGCCTATCTAGATTAGTCTCGGTTTGATAGGTGCTAGTTAAGCTAAATATTTCATATTTCGGGAAGATTTTTTTTTATTTTTTATTTTTTTTCTCGCTTAGGGGTCCTTGATAGTTGATAATATGTCACGACACTTCGCTATAAACAGAAGACGGACTCTTTCCTATGACAAAATCGTACCCGCCTAAAAAAAATTGTTCATTTTATTGAGTTTTTTTATGTGCGTGGGTGATGAAATGAAGTGAGTTATATATTGTATTTTAGTTTGGATTTTTAATTGCATCTCCATGTACTTAAAAATGTAGGTGATGAAACTACTGCAGTGGCTACTGCAGATGTTGAAGCAACCCCAATTTGCAAATCAGTACACGGAACTGAACTAGATGAAACATGCACCTCAGTTGCCCAGAAATTTCAGCTCACATTTGAAGCTTTCCTTGCTATAAACCCTAATATCAACTGCGATTCAATCTTCGTGGGTCAATGGCTTTGTGTGAAGGGTACTCTTGGACGAGCAAATTAAATTTCTGCTCAATATTTTGAGCTTAAATTATTGAAGAAACCGGAACCGGTTCAATTTAGATATTGAACTTTGAATTAGTACTCATGTTGTTTGGATTTTCTGTATCCTAGGCGGAAAAGTGTTCTTAAAGAGAATCCTTTACCGCTGTCCAAGTCGTTTCTTATTTCAATAAAGTTTGTTAATTTGTGCTTTCTTATTATAATTTTCTTTGGGCGTGATCCCAAAATTCCTTGAGAATTCATAGATTAATACTCATTTCAATAATCTACAAATTACTGTGAGAAGCAAATCATACTAAGATTGTGGATAATATTTTATTCTATTTGGTTGTTGATGAAATCACAAATTGGAAACAGTACGTCCAAAGGGAAAGATGGACTACTCTGTCATGAAAAGTTATTCTATTGAACAATGCGTCTAATAAGTATTAGCTTTTCATTTAAAATAAATTCGAAAAGAAAAAATAAAACGGAGTACTAAACTAATTTCTGATTGTGACAACTGGGAATGGTGGAGCCAGGATTTAAATTTAATGGGGGCACATCTATATTACGTTAAAACTTGAGCAAAAAAATATTTTGACGCTCAGAAATATTATCTGATTGTACCGTGTGTTAGTTTAGTGTTAGTTTAAATGTGTTACATGATGTCCAATTTTATCCAAGTTTTCATATATTGATTGCATTTGATCATCACTTCATTATTACCTTTGGAACAATATTATTTATCTCTGCATGTAAAACAAGAAAATCACCAAATAATTCTAATCGATTGATTAAGTATATATTCAAGATTAAGTAGAACAAGATACTAGCATATCTAAAAGAGTTTAACAAAAAAAAAAGCAAAATAAATCATTATTACATTTAAAATGTTGAAGAATAAAAAATATGTTGTGATGCATAACATAACTTGAATACTAGACTTTCGGGTGGAAATTTAGCGAAGACTGCAAAAGAGTAAAATATATGAAAGATTAAATCAAATTGTAGATTTAGTGGTGGGGCCGTGCAAAACATTGCAGATTGACGCAAAGTAAGCCATTGAATAGTGATGATCACTCCTAGTTTTGTGCCTATTTCACATTTTTACTGGTATAAGAAAGCAGGAAGCTCCTAGACATTTACTAAAGTCAGTGGGGCACATGCCCCCAGTGCCCCTACTGTAGCTCCGCCTCTGACAACAGAAGAAAATAAGAATTTGAATAATATAAAGAAAATAAAGAGAGCAATATCTAAAGGCTACATTGTGATTGATTGACTGGATACAATATTCATATGAGTAGCTCGTTATTTATAGGAGAGCTTTTCTACAACAACCTTACAATATAAGGCTAATCTATTTTAAGTAACTATTGGGAGCAATCAATCCCCGGGATTACGAGATACTCTAGGAATTCTTGATAGCCAAACATATCTCGTTCTTGATGAGTGTGATCAGCCTTGTTTTGGAAATGACATGATCTCGATCTTGAGAGATTCTATTAACATCCCCCCTCAAACTGAGTCGGGGCTGGAGACTCAGTTTGCTTCGAGTGTGTTGACGGCTTCTCATCTTCATGCGGCAGTGAAAAACCTTCTTGTGGTCCATTGATTTAGCCATGTTTTGGACAAAAAAAAAGGCTTGAATTTATTATTAGATTTTGTATGATGAGTCAAAAACTCTTCTTTTATGAGAAGATAAAATTTTTGCCATAATGGAGATTTTGTGGATTGACTCAGAGGTGACTTTCCTCGTTGTCTGAAATTTGTGGATCAACTAAAGTTGATTTATGGGAAAAAAAAACACAAAGTCTAGGGTAGAAGACTTTGTTTTGTATTGATTGAATGATTTGTAGGTTTTGTTGACATTATTGGGAGAATCAAATAAGAATTTGGGATTAGCAGTAGAAAAAAAAAGAGTGATTTGGGATGAATTTGGAATTGAAACATGACACATTTGTAAATATTTATGACTGAAGTAATCATGATTTTATTTGTTGAAAGAAGAAAAAAAAATACGCGGAAGAATGGTACAGAAGCAGGATGAACCTGCTCTGATACCAAGAAGAAACTAAGAATTTGAATAACATAAAGAAAATAAAGAGAGAAATATCTAAAGGCTACATTGTGATTGATTGACTGGATACAATATTTATATGAGTAGCTCGTTATTTATAGGAGAGCTTTTCTACAACAACCTTACAAGATAAGGCTAATCTATTTTAAGTAACTATTGGAAGCAATCAATCCCCAGGATTACGAGATACTCTAGGAATTCTTGATAGCCAAACATATCTCATCATTGATGAGTGTAATCAGCCTTGTTTTGGAAATGACATGATCTTGATGTTGAGAGATTTTGTTAACAACAACTAGTCAGAAAGATATGCATGCGCCATGGTTCTGAAATGAGGAAATACAGTAGTATCTAATAGTAATAGATTCTGAAATTTTATAAGCAATGTAAACCAAATGTTTCCGAATTCATTGTCTAAACAGAAAACTTTGTTTGCAGCTCTGACAGCAGCTGCATATCATATTTGGTGCATGAGGAATGCAGTAATGCATGGGAGCAGCTTGTGCAGGTGGAGGTGTTGGTGGAAAGAATTAAACATCAGGTTAGATGGCGTGTACAGGAATTTTGCAAAACGTATAGAGTTAAAGAGAAACTATACTTAGCTGAAATGAATATTGATGTATAGAGAAGTGCAGGATACTAGAATGATGTAATAGCAGCAGATTCAGGTTTGTAAAGTTGGCAACAGTTTTCGGAAAGTTAATGTATTAACCTTTTCATAAAAAATTTTTTTTTTATCTAGTTTGAATTTTGTTTTTAGTGCAATCTATTTTACCCTATCAAAGCAGAATACATGATGTTGATGTGGCAATTTCTTATTAAAAAATTTTGGCTCCAAATGCACCATATTACTTTAACCATTCTGCCACGTGTCATCCTTTTTTAAAAGAAAAAAAAACTTCTTATTCGGAAAAACAAAAGCTAATTTACAAAACTAACTACACAATTTTAACTCCTAACACTTATCATTTATCAATCAAATTAAGATACCATTTAAATTTGTCCATAAACTTATCTCTTTTATTACTCCACATTCTTTTGTATAATTTCTGCATCGGTGTACTTTTCAATATTTTTTTTCCTTTTGCAGATGATTTTTTTATTTTTATTTTTATTTTTGCTAAAAAAGAGAAAAAATAAAGCGTAGTTATTTTATTTTTTGTAAATCAAAAATTCATTTATCTATTAACACAAAATTAAAGTAGAAGGCGTCCGGGCATCTGCTTGGGCCAAGCATCTAGTTTATATTAAAAAGAAAATAAAAGGAGTATCTTTTATTCGTTAGGGAAGGAGACGTTCTCTGTAACGACTCTAAAGGGTCCCTCCGATGGTTGGCGTTGGACCACTGAAAATCCACGACATCAAATGATCCCACCAAAATCTACCTTTGACCGAATTCCCGTAGGATCACCCCAAATTTCAATCCTAGAAATCAAACACTAATCAATTGATCGATGGACCATGCTGGTTCTTGTGTTAGATTTCATATAACACTTCGTCATGCTCAGGTTTAGACATCTTTATAGTTCTTCTCACTCCGTTTGTCCTAGAAAAATAGTCTATTCAGTTTTCAAATTTGTACTAAAATTAGTACAAATCTCAAGACTCGACATGGATTAATTCTTTGGGGCAGTGGGAGTACGTATTTACTTTCTGTTAATGCTTATGAAGTTAGAGAATGGTCATGAGGATCAGTTGTACTGAAACGGATTCCGAAGATCATGATGTCTTGATGTTGCAAGCAGTAAGCCAGTGTGTGGTAGTTCTCAAATTCATAGGAGTTCAGAACATAAGGTAAGACTCTTCATTGTTATAGTTACCATGCTTGGGCATTTTTCTTCAAACTGTCTGATGATGGTAAACTTCATTACTGCTGTAACTAAAGGGCCTGAGAAATACCATATTGTTGATATAATAAAGTGAAGGGCCTTCATTAGTAGATACAGTAGGTGGATCCAGATCTACTATTACGGTACGCACACCCACCATAGAAAACCTCCGTACGTTCCAACAATAGAGACTTCTTTTAGATTGAAAACTAGGGAATATTTCTCCAACGTTTTTTTAATTTAAAGGTATATATCAACAACTATTCTATTTTCTTCTCCAGTTATTATGAAGTACTATGAACTACTACAACCTAAACCCTAGTGTTTTGTTTCCTTCTGAAAGACCCTGATAAGTCGATATATCCAGAAGCCGCCTCTCCACCCCCAATTTTGCGGAAGATAAAATAATACTCATCTAGTAGTCTCAAAAATTTAGTCTACTATTTTATTATTTTTGAACTAAATAGTAAAATGAAGTTGAATTTTTTTTTTCTTAGATGGGAGGTACGGTAGTTTTAATTATGTAAAAAAAAATTAAAATACAAAAAAAAAATAAAACAAGTAGTACTAGAAATTTAATCTAGGGTTCATTAGTTATATTACTGATAGGTCTTGAAGTTTCATGTTATTTATGGGTATTTGTATAGTATTTTGGATTAGATTGTGCACTTATGTTGTGTAGTTTGATGTTTTTGATTCTTAGAAGTGATTGGAGCTGAGATGGAGAAAAATATTCTATAAACACATATTTTTGGAGCATTTTGACAATGAAGCACAAAAAGGGAGCAATGACATCACATTCTCGTGTGGGCACACGAATCTCAGTCCAAAATTGAGCTTCAGAGAAAAAATTCCAGCATTGATGCTGCATTCCCGTTTGGCCAAACCGAAACAGAGACTAAAATAAAAAATTTAAAAAGTTTTGGGGTTAAAATATAATTTTACCAAACTTGAGGGACCAATTTGAAAATATCGGAAAAGTTAATTTGCTGCTGCGGCTGACCTACTTGTTCCCATATAAATTGATTTTATTCTTTTCTTTTGGAGGGGGGGGGGTGAACGTGAGAAGAAGAAGAGGAGGTTGGAGGGGGGCTGAACGTGAGAAGAAGAAGAGGAGGCTGGAGTGGTCCTAAGCCGCCTATCTAGCCCTTTTGGACGTTATTCTTCCTCATTCTCCATAGTTTTATTTTAGTAAGTCTTTATTATGTGTAATTAAATTACTTTTCTAGTTGAAAGATATTGAAGCCTTGGTTTGAATAGTTGTGAGATCTAAATATTGTTTCTCTCTCAATTTCTTGTGAGTATTTGTTTGTTCTATTGCATGATTGATATGATTATTGTGGATTCATGAATAGCTGGTAGCATTCGATGTTTCTTAATAATCTAAAATCAATAAGACAACAAGGTTTGTTGTTTAATTAGGGTATAATATAATTTAATTACTTGCTAAGTGATTTTGTTATGTTACAAGAACAAGTAACCTGGTATTTTATTTATTAAACAAGGTTTGTTTCATAGGAATCAAAATTGGGTCTTTGTACTTAATGCAGTCGTTTTCTTAATCTTAGGAAGTTCCAGGATTGAATTTCGACTAGTGTGTTTAATGAAGGTTTTCTTAATCACTAAACTTAGTTCAAAATTGAGTTGTTAGGAGGTTCCAACAACGACAACTAATTTGCCTATAAGTGATTGAGCATATCATTGCATCTATGATCAATTGTCTAGACCAAGGTGGAAATAAAATCTTTTGACTAGAAACTTTCTCATAAGTTGCTTTCATTTTTTTTAACTATTATTTGAATTTTATTTTAACAACATTTTAGTTTTAAAAACTCAAAACCCTCATTTTGGTTACTTATTTGAAAGAAACGAATCCACCATTCCCTGAGGAGACGACCTTGTTTTCTTATGCTACTAGTTTGAAAGTAGGTTAAATTATTTTTTGGCTTGACACCCCATCAATTACATTACATGACCCACTGGTAAGCCGTCTTGTCTTCTTCCTCTATTCTCATTTAACCAGGCGGAAGAAATGGCAAGAAGTTTTGTACAGACGATCAATTTGCCTTCTGTGGCTCCTTTGTTGATTGGTTCCCAACTGAACTGGATTGATATTACTTGTAGTAGCAGCAGAAGACCCACAACCACAACGTTTTCCATTTCTGCGCAGCCGGAAACTCTGAGGTTGAATTCGAACAGTTTCACCGGACGGCGTTCGGCCAATCCATTTGACAGTTTGGTCGTCCGATGTGGCGGCGGCGGAGGCAAAATAATAGCGTTAGAACCTGTGTTTGAACGCTTTACGGCTAAAGCCATGCACGGTTGTCATGAAGCATGCTGAAGATGAGGCGAGAAATTTGCGCCATATTTTCATTGACGTGAACCATATATTACTGGGTCTACTTCGTGGGGATACAGGCATTGCGACAGAGGTCCTGAAATCCGTGGGGATTAATCTGAAAGATACCCGTTTAAAATAAGAGAAATTAGTTGGAAAAGGAAGTGGATTTCGGACCGATGAGTTCCAGTTCCATATAACGGAGCGTACAAAGCGAGTTTTAGAACTTGTGCTTGAGGAGGCTTGGTTAGGCCATAATTATAATGAACCAGAGCACATCTTGTTGGGGTTGGTTCGTGAGGACGTTGTTGGAACTTGTGTTCTTGAGCAATTAGGTGGCAATATGGCGGAAATCCTGTCCCGAGTGATAAAAATGATGGACAAAAAGGGAGAACCGAAGAGAGATGCCAGGATGGATGATGTTAATGTAATTGAGAAGTATGGTACAAATTTGACAGAGCTGGCAAAACAGGGGAAATTGAATCCTGTCATTGGAAGACAGGAACTAATCGACCGTGTAATTCGAACGCTCTGTAGACGGTCGAAGAACATCCCTTTCCTCGCTGGGAAGCAGGGTATTGGGAAAACAGCTATTGTTGAGGGTCTTGCTCAATGGATTGAAAACGGAGAAGTTCCTGAGATAATGCAGGGGAAGAAGGTCATTTATTTATTTATTTTTTTTTGCAACTCACAAGTGTTGTAAATTATGTAAACCCTGGGTGTGATAAATATAGTACACATTGTAAATTGTAAATTGCATTCACAATGTACAATGTGGACTATTTTTAAGGGTCCGAGTAACATTTTGGGGATTCGGATGCTTTGTTGTTGAATACTAAAACTTTGCGGATTTTAACTTCTAATTGTAGCTCTTACTTTGTGGATTTGAGCTTTTAATTGTGCTTCTTCTGGTCATAAAACTGGACATGCGACTCCTCCTTGCTAGAGAAGAAAATCGTGAAGAAAGGCTGAAGAAATTGATGGAGGAGGTCAAACAATGTGATGACATCATACTTTTCATGGATAAAGCGGAAGCATATATTGGAGCTGATGATCGCCATACAGAAATTGACGGAGCAGTTCAGGCAGCAATGATTTTAAGACGTGCTCTATTATGCGGTGAGCTACAGGTAATCAACTTAATGCAGGCAGAGAACACAAATAATTGTCTGACATGATCTCGCGTGTGTAATTACTATTTGGGAAGTAAATGATTTTTGTAAAGAGATTGGTTATAAATGAAAACAATGATATGCCCCTTTGTCCTTGGAATTTGAAGCAAAAAGCTCCTGACCTGATCGTTTCCTTTCTTTACTCCTTAGATCATGCTTGGTATTGGTTATGTTCTGTTTCAGTTTATTTCAATTTGCGGGTATATATACTTGTAGTACGTATTGCTCATGTGTGGAGGAATGTACTGATACCTTGTTTTGATGGATTAATTATAGCGTATTGTGGCGGATAGTTGGGTCGACAATGGGGATCGCCTAGAGAGAGAGATCGAGCTTCAAGGTCTAGAGAAATATGTTGAGCTAATTGCAGTGCCTGAACTTCCTGTGGAAGAAACTGTTCACATCTTAAAGGGACTTCGCGAGGATATGAGACATACCACAATGTACAGTACACAGATGAGTCTTTGGTCGCAGCAGTCCAGCTCTCACACAAATATCTCAGGTCCCTTACCTGTAATTGTCATATTGGCGTCTTTCACTGGGGATCTTTCCCTTTTAGCATTTCATATTCTCGTGCCTTTTAAATGTTTACTACAAATATCTTACAGGTTTTCTTCAGAAATTGTAACCTTCCAATTATGAGGAATTTATATACTATGGGTTTCCAGATCAATTATCTTGAACATCATTTTGATTCCAATTTTCACTTTTATCATTATTGATTTCTCCCCATTTGTGACATTGGATAAAACCCCTTCGACATGCTAATGTTCTACTTAAAGGCTGGATATGCTTGTGCTGTGACGATGTAATATTTGTTGTAAACAACATTGGAACTCGTTTCCGCAGCTGGATTGAGGGAGGTTAAGTGGTATTAGTATTGCTTTCTCAATATATTCTTTTTATTTCTTTTGCAATTTTCTTCATTTAGGAACCGATACTTACCTGGTAAAGCAATCAATTTGATGGATGATGCTGGTTCTCGTGTTAAATTTCATCAAACACTTCGTCATGCTAAGGTATAGAATTCTTCTCAACATCTTTAGTTCATTTCAGTGGAGCTGTTTTTTAACATTCAGGTAACCCTCTTCTTCTTTTCCTTCAGGTTCCAGAAGAGGTTACAGATCTACAGATTGAGCTCGGACAAGTCACCTCAGATAAGTGTAAAGCTCTTGCAAGTCAAGATTTTGAAAAGGTAGTTTTTTGTTGTTTAAGAGCAATGAGACACTGAAACGGATAGTTTTATTCTATGTATATTAGTACTTCACTAGCTTGCTGCACATCTCATCTCCCCTTCATTATTCTAATGTATGCAAGATTTACTGTCTAGTCGTAGAAGCATGCAACTGAACCGTCGACTACTGTTTGTCGCTAAGATGCATTACTTTGATGTTAATGATTTAACCGCTCATCAATTTCATCCTATGGTTTTTATATATTCATATAGGCATTTGAGTTACATGATAGATAAAGAGACCTGAAGGCTCAAATTTCCGGACTTAACTATGAAGAGATAAATGAGGTACAAACTGAGCCCTGTGGAGTTGTGACTGAAGAGGATATCCGGGATACTCTCCAGTTAGACTGGAAGGTTTCTGGAATCACATTGGACAAGCTGAAGCTCAGAGTGAGGTGATATTTTATTGATAAAATTAAAACTGAGATATCAAGTTCCATCATGATAGAGAGGTTATGATTATCTAGCTTTTGGTAGATTAGATAGGACATATTCATGGAATATGTTCTTCCCTGTTCACCCTTGATAGTTTGTCCAACTAATTAGTTAAACAAATCGATGCTAGTCGGAGAAAGTAATTTCTTTTGAAAATTACAACGATTCACAATTCTTGCTCTATCTTCTATTTTACAAATTTAAAAACTTATAACACAAAGTTAGTTCAAGTTTAAACAAAAATATGAATTGAAGCCATGACAAGTACACATTCACTTCGAGTGAAGAATTCAAAAATGTTAGCCCAAGCTAATTTAATATTACCGTTATTTTTTTTCAATAAAAAATAATCAAACTGTTCTAAAGAGATTTGACTCATGAGTTTGAGTCATGGTAATAACAATCCTATTACCATTTTATGCAACCGTCTTAACCCTCCCTACCATAAAAGTTTATAGTTCGAAGAGAATATCATATTTTATTTTGTGTTACTTTTGTCTCTTAAAAATTATGACTTCGGGCAACGGTAATAAAAATCCGTTATCTAACATCCCAACAGATGCATAATATAAATTAAGCATCATATATTTTGTACTCCACCTTTTCCAAAAATAATAATAATAATAATAAAATTATTTTGTACTCCACTTGTTCCAAAAAATAAAAAATAAAAAATCAATTTCATACAAGTTTAAATTTATTGGATCATAGTGAATAAAAGATTATCATCTCTAAAATAGAACTGAATCATTATTTTGAGTTGATACAAACTAATAGGGTTACAATTAGCAATTATTTTGAATGAATATTGGTTGTAGTTCTTTTTTTATAATTTAACCAAAATTATTTTTATAATGAATAGGGGTCACCTGGGCAGAAAAGGACGTATTCTCCATAATTAAAAAAAGAAAGAAACACTATTTTTAAATCTAGGGTTAACTTTGTTATTGGAGGATTCTCAAGTAAGCAATAGGCACCTCTTCTTCCTCTATTTCTATTTCCTCCGCGCCTCCATTTTTCTCCCCGCCGGGGTTGATAAAGCTCCCTCGGAAGGGGAATAAAAACAAAATTATGGCAAGAGTTTTAGTTCAGTCAACCTCATCTCTGGCTCCTACGTTGAATGTTCCCCAATCAAAAAGGACTTATGATAGTAGAAGCAGAAAACCAACAATCGCTATGGCTTGCATTTCACCGGCGGCAGAACTCTGAGATTGAATTTCAACAGTTTTTCCGGGCAGCGTTCGGCCAAGACATTGGATAGTCTTATTCCCCGGTGTGGCGGCGGCCGCGGCACCGGCGAAACCGTTAGAAGTGATACGTTGGGCTCTTCGGGAAAATTGCTTGCGAGGCGAATAAGCCCAGAAGTTAAGTTTACAGAGACAGCCACGAACGTTGTCCTTGAACTTGCTGCCGATGAGGCAAACCGTTTCGGGCATAGTTTCATTGGGCCGTAGCATTTATTATTGGGCGTAATTCGTGAGGGCACGCGTGTTGGGGCTAAGGTCCTGAAATACTTTGGAATCGATTTGAAAGATACCCGTGTTGCAGTACACGAATTAATTGGAATTGGTGGGATTTGTGAATATCTGGCGGATAACAGTCAAATTGTTGTATTAAAGCAATGTAATTCACTCCTTAATTAGTGAGAATTTGGGGTGCTTCTTAGGATTTGGGGTTCTTAGAATTATTTTTGTGAAGGGATGGATCTAAGAAACAAGTGATGAAAAATGGTGGTTTATGGAGCAATAATTGGGCTGCCGATTTCAGAATTGAGAAGCATGTGCTGAGTTGGTCAATGAGCTGGTCAAAAAGTAACTCCAAAATACAAGACACATTGGGAGTTAATAAAGGTGTCCCACAATAGAAACTAAAGAGCATGTTTGTCCCCTTGAATAATGAATCACCCACATTGATCATTGATCAATGCTACTGCTGATACCATTGTTGGAAGAAGGGAAAAAGGCCAGTCAAAACCGGATTCAAGACACACGGTATTGGGGCTAATAAAAAATACACGAGCATGGTAGACTCTCTTAGAAGAAGAACCGGCAACAAACTCCATTAGAATGTCTAAAGATTAATTCTGATGGCAGCCTTAATCGGGAAACCGGTTTGGCGAGTGCTGGTGGAGCTGGAATAGATTGTTATGCAAATGGTTGGGTGGTTTTACCATGAATATTGGTTTCTGTATTATTACGGGAGTAGAGTTCATGGGATTATTTCAAGGCTTGACACTTGCTTGGTAGTTAGGTTGGAGGAATGTAGTTGTGGAAGTTGACAATCAAAGTAAAATTACTATGGTGCAAAGTGGAAGGGTCGTGAAAGGTCTCAATGCAAGGATCATATATGGGATTCGAGAATTGTTGAAAAGAGAATGGGTCGTAGAGATCAAATATGTGTTTCGCGAAACTAATTTTGTAGGAGATTATATGATATCTCTAGCAGCACAAGGCCCGGGCGGCTTACAATGGCACTAGACACCACCGAGTAAAATTAAACCATGGCTGAAACGTAGTTGGAGTTTCATACCCTCGTAATGTATTAAGTTGATACTAGGTCTAGTGCCTCTTAGGTAGCACCGTGCTTAGGCCAAAATACAAAATACAGGTGTTATACTGGGCACCTGTGCTACCTAAGAGGTGGGCGCGGGCTTCGACGCGCACTCACCTCGTTTTTTTGCCACTTTTTTTTAAATTTATTACTTTTATTATTTTTAAATTCCAACTTAAACACTAATAATTAGACCCTAACTTTTTAATCTAGGGTTAACTTCATTACGCGACCTCTTTCTCTATTTCTAATTCCTTACGAGCCTCTATTTTTTTTCCTCGCCGGGATTGATATAGCTCGTTGGGAAAAGAAATCGTGGCAAGAACTTTAGTTCAGTCAACCAGTATATATTCGGTGGCTTCGACGTTGAACGGTATCCAATCAAAATGGAATTCCGATTTTAGATGCGGAGGATGAACAATTACATTTGGCATGTTTTCCCGGCGGCCACACCTTTAAAGTTGAATTTGAACAGTTTCTCCGGACGGCGGAACTCGTTGGATAGTTTGGTTGTCCAATCTCTGCGAAACAGCAAAATAATACGAAAAATTAGACAAGCTAGTTTTAGTTTACTTGAGGAGTATGGTACGATTTGACAGAGCTTGCCGAACACGGAAATTGGACCCCTTAATCGGGAGACAGGAAGAGATTGAACATGTCATTCGAACACTGTGTAGAGTGTCAAAGAACATCCCTCTCCTCGTCGGAGAAAATGGTGTCGGAGAAACAACAATTGTTGAGGGTCTTGCTCAACGCATTGTAAATGGTGATGTTCCTAAGTCACTTCAGGGGAAGAAGGTAAATTACAGAATTTGTCACAACTCTTTTGGATATTCAGATGCTTTGACATTAAACACTCCGAAACTTTAATAATTCGATCCTCTTCAGGTTGTAAAACTGGACTTAGTACACCTGTTTGCTAGAGATCAGAAAGTAAGGCTGGAGAAATTGACTGAGGTCAAACAAAGTGATGATACCATATTTTTCACCGATTTGTGTACACTAACATGCTTTAGGTTTTATCGTGAGGATTATGCTGAAACTATTTTAGGACCAGCTCTTTCTCTGGGTGAGCTACAGGTAATCTAAATGCAGTTGGAGAAGAAAAAGATTGCATATTTTTTTCTGGCGTCAATGATTGGTTTTGAGAAACTTTGTTTCGAATGCATTGAATGATGTGAAAATCTTGTTTAGTTTGTTTTTCTAATGATGTTTGGTTTCACTTTTTTTTTTCCTTGGATTTGGTGGAGGATTATACTTTTAGTATATGTTGCTCATGTGTGGAGGACAGTAATAATAACCTGTTTGTTTCGATGAATTTCAGTGTATTGGTACAACTTTTTTATTAAGAATTATCCACCTCTAGAGCCACATATTGAGCCAATTAAGGTGGATGAACCTTCTGTTGATGAAATCGTTCAGATTCTAAAAGGGCTTCAAGAGCGATATGAATCTCATCACAAAGTACGGTACATGGATGAGTCTTTGGTCTCAGCTGCCAATCTCTCACACATAAAATTAAGGTCCCTTACTTTGTTTCTGTTGTTACAGTATGTTATTTCCTCTGTGCCAAAAAACTATATAGACCACATTAAATTTTGAGATTTGTCATATTTTTCTTGCTTGGATCTTTCCGTCTTAGCATTTCGGATTCTTGTGCCTTCAAACTTGTCAGGTTGTCCCTGAAGCTAGATTTAGAGAAGTTACAGCGGTACTGTATTATTTAGTAAGGTTGTCAGGTTGTCCCTGAAGCTAGATTTAGAGAAGTTACAGTGGTACTGTATTATTTAGTAAGGCATGCTGAATATTCTCTGTTTCCTTTTGCGATTTTCTTCATTCAGTGATCGGCCTTTGCCTCGTAAAGCAATCAACTTGATAGACGATGCTGGGTCTCGTGTTAGATTGCATCAAACACTTCGTCATGCCAAGGTCTAGACTAGTTTTCCATTCGTATCATCTTTCTTTTGATTTAATGGAGATGCTTTTCCTCGTTATTAGGTAACCCTGTTCCTATTTCCCTTCAGATCCAAGAGGAGGTTAAAGTGCTGGAAATTGAGCTTGAAAGTATCACCTCAGATAAGCTTGAAGCTCTCCATAATCAAGATTACAAAAAGGTAGTTGGTTTTTTATGTCCTAGATGTCTTCTTTTCGTATGTATCCCATTTCGCCAATGACATGTTTGTAGATTTGATGTGAAGTTGTAGGCTTCTAAATCAACAATTGTTTGTCGTGAACTAATATTTTTGATCATGTTGTTAATGGTCTAGCTAATTGGTTACACGTTTTAATGCGATGGTTTTTACATTTGCATTTAGGCCTCTTCGTTACATGATAGAGAAACAGATCTTAAGGCTGAAATTTCAGCACTTAACAACAAAGGAATAACTGTGACTGAAGAGTATGTTCGAGATACTCTGTTGCCGGACTATCATGTTGATGCGACTTCCATAGATGAATAATGCAATGGTGAAATCAAATCAAATTGTTATGGCGCAGATGCCCCAGGCTTCAGTCGTTGGACAAGATGAAACTCACAGTTACCATTAGCCTTTGCTAGTTTATTAATCGAAACTGAGATATGAGGTTCATTAGCTGCATCTATTTGTTTTGGTTGGTTTTAGTTGCGCGTTAAGTTTTGTTTGAGTTGAACAAAGTTAATTTAGTTGAACTAAGGGTGGACTTCTTTTAGTATACTAACTGAATTTATTGATATTGAACTAATTATAGAGTCCGAAAAATGACTTACATACATATGAATATACACCAATAATCCCACCGTCGACCCGAAAAAGGAAAAAAAAAGAAGATTGGTCCAAGACACACAAAATAACGCTGTCCAAAGAAGGGTATACTTATATATAGGTGCAGAATTTCTTAAGATCCTCTATCCCAAGAGGATTCTAGTCAGGATCTCTTTCTTTTGAGTTCTGTTTTTCCCCCAGTATGCTGTTCAAGGAACTGCTTTCAAAGCAAATGAGCAATCAATCACTACAGGTTAGGCAATATAATTGTTATCACGGCGCTATCAGGCAATATAATTGTTCAGCTTGCTGCTTAATGATGAACCGAATTTGCTAAATGATGGTCGGCACGATCTGTTGTTCGCCAATTAAGCATTTATTCATCTATAAACATTTCTTCTGCAGTTGCAACGTCGTGATCCAGAATTTGATTTGCTCATGGAATTTTTACTCTTCATACGATATTAGTTAGAGATCATAACATCACAAGAGCATGGTTTCATGTGGATAACACATGCGAATATCCTTTTGAATCATAGGAACAATAAAACAGATTCATCTGTACTTTGTTTCCTTTAATATGTTACGTTTAATTAAAATAATAATGTAAATACAATAAAGTAATATATATACAGATAAATTATTCGCACATACTCCATATTATTACCCCTAGTAATTTACTAGAAAGTATTATCTTAAAAATAAAAAGAAAGGTATAAAACATTCAATATACTAGTAGGTCTCCAGTTATTACGCACTACACAAATTAGTCCTAAAATTTTTCCAGAGCTGTTTCAAAAAAAAAAGTAGGGCTACTTTTATTACTTGATTAATAAGTACGCAATAGCCTCCATTTTCCCCCCCTGCCCTTAGATTCATAGAGTTCCCAGAAATAACAACCATGGAAAAAGCTTTAGTTCAGTCAACCAATTTTCTTCCTCTGGCTACAACGTTGAACGGTTCCCAATCAAAACGGATTTATGATGGTAGAATCAGAAGATCAACCATCACAATGGTTCGCATTTCGCCGGCGGCGGCACCTTTGAAGTTGAATTTGAAAAGTTTTCCCGGACGGAGTCCGGCAATTGGATTGCGTGGTTTAGTTCTCCGATGCGGCGGCAGTGCCGATGGCGAAGTGTTAAATGAAAATAAGCAAGCAGCAGAAGGTAAGGAGACGGATTGTGTCAATTTACTTGAAGAGTTTGGAACGGATTTTACAGAGCTCGCAAAGCAGGGGAAATTGGGCCCTGTAATTGGAAGACAGGAACTAATTGCGCGCGTTATTAGAACATTGTGTAGAGAGTCGAAAAACAACCCTCTCCTCATTGGAGAGAACGGAGTCGGGAAAACAGCAATTGTTGAGGGTATTGCTCAACGGATTGCAGATGGAGATGTTCCCGAGAGAATTCAGGGGAAGAAGGTAAGTAATATAATTTCTTCCATTAAATTTGTATTTACTGAAATTGTTGGGAAAAGAATAGTTAGTCTTTTTGTTTGTGAATCAAAAGCCCTGTTATTAAGGTACTTAAACTTGGGGGTCTGATCTTTTCAGTTGTTGATGTTCAGATAATAAAGCTAGACGTGCTACTCCTGGTTGCTAGAGAAGAAACCCGCGAAGAGAGGCTGAAGAAATTGATTGAGGAGGTAAAACAAAGTAATGATATCATACTTTTCATCCAAGGAGCGGAATCAATTCTTGGAAATAATTATAACATTGTGGGAGATACTGATGCCGCAAGCATTTTAAAACCTGCCCTATCTCACGGTGAGCTACAGGTAATCAAGTTCAATTGCAAAATTTATGCAGAGCAGAAAAAGTTTGCTTCTTGTCTGGTATATTCTGATGACTATTTGACAAGTGTGAAAATAAGAGTTTATGAATATGTAGAGTTAAGGATATGCCCTTTTGTCATCATTCATTTATATCCAAAGTTCATTTCAGTTTGGCGGAGGATTACAGAACGTTTTGCTCATGCATTGCGGAGTTAACTGATATATAGTTTTGATGGATTTTAGTGTATTGGAGCTGTTACTTTGGAGGGCTACCGAATTTACCTTGAGGACGATCTAGAACTAAATAGTCTTTTCCAGACAGTTAAGGTACCTGAACCTTCTGTGGATGAAACTGTAGAGATTTTGATGGGGCTTCGCCGGCGATATGAGACTCATCACAGTGTACGGTACACATATGAGTCTTTGGTCGCAGCTGCCAAGTTCTCACACAAATGTTTCAGGTCCCGTACTTCGTTACCTTGGTTTCTTATACATTTCTCTTGTCATTGCGTGATTTTGTGTTTTTTACCTTCTTCACATCGTCTTAGCATTCCTGATTATTGTGTTGTTTGAATGGTTATAACGTCATATACTCATAGTTAATTCTTCTGTGTTAAGAAACTATATCACCCCAATAGGGGCAATGTAATCTCTGTGCTCCTAGATCATTGATTGATAATGTTTATGGTTTGGCTTTTCGGTTTAATATATGAGGATGGATCCGTGTTTGAACAACAACAACAACTCGGTTCATGTCCTGAGGGTCAAAATGTACACAATCTTTTCCCTGTAATAATACAGAGAGACTTTTTAAGTAGTATGACCCAAGATGCATTGGTGCAGTGATGTATCAGTTTTCGGTAACTTCACCAAATTAAGAAGCGTCGGAATTTAAACGAGTCATTTTGATCTAACCTACCATTAGCACAAAACTGAAACAATTGTCAATGATTCTATCCGTGTTTAGCTTTGTTTATATCCCTGTTTCGATCTAATCACCATTTTATCCGTGTTTGTAACATTGGATAAAACGTAAAACCCTTTGTTTAGCTTCTAGCGTTCTGAGGAACAACGAAATTCATTCATCTTGTGCATATGTGATATTTGGTGGCGGTACTACGGTATATTGAATATCCTTTTCTAAAAGTTTTTCATCATTCAGTGACCGGTACTTACCTGATAAAGCAATCAACTTGATGGACGATGCTGGTGCTCGTGTTAGATTTCATCTTACCCGACGTCTTGCTCAGGTCCTTATTCTCAGTTCTTACCATGTTTATTTCGTTTTAATGGAGTTGCTTTTCTTCATTACTTAGGTAACCTCCTCCTGTATCCTTTCAGGTTCAAGAGGAGCTTAAAGTGTTGGAGATTGAGCTTGGAAGTATTACGGCAGAAAAGATTAAATGTGTCCAAAATCAAGACTTCGAAAAGGTACGTTATTCGTGTGTTAGAGCGATAGATATATAGAAACAGGACAATAATACTTATGTCTTCTTTATATATTTCCATTTCATATTCTATGTTATTCGCCTTCGTAATACATTTACCTTTTCACTCTTCTTATGTTTGTGAGATTCGCTTTCTAGTTCCCCACTTGCTGACTGAACTATCAACAATTATGTTTGCTCATAGGCCGTGGAGTTGCGTGATAGAGAAATGGATCTAAAGGCTCAAATCTCAGAACTTAACAGGAAAGGGATATGTGTGACTGAAGTGGATGTTCGAGATACTCTGTTGTTGGACTAAAATTCATGTTGAGAAGGTTTCCAAATTTCGAGACAATGCTGAATTCAGATCAGATTGTTAAAGCTGGAAGAAGACGCTCTATCCTTCAGTCTTTTCTCGTTCGATTTTCGTCATTAAAACTATAGATGTCTTGATTCAATTGGACAAACTAAAAATACAAAATCTATTTTCTCGCCGTTCTATATATGCTCATAGTCCATTACTCCATTTTATCAAACTAAATAGTTGAACAGATTTGGTTTAGTTTTAACATGGTGAATTCTTAATATGGAATTGATGAAACTTTTCATTTTAAGTAATTAGAAGCTATATTATTATTTTGCGCAACTGCGGGTCATATTTCTAATATCTTCCTTCCCATCCAATGGGGATTATTTTGGTCGTTCCACTCAGTCTACATATCCAAAAATGACTAAAATGTGCTCTCAGAACTTGGAGTGAGCAAAACTATGCCTAGGTTTTCGTAGGAAGAAAGAAATGTGTTTCCCGCATTTAGCGAAAGCGAAAAAACAAACTTCCATATTTGGCAAATGCGAAAATTTAAAGATTTAATTACAATGCATTAAAGACGTTGGATTAAAAGTGGATAATCATAATTATTTTAAGTGTTCGCATTTGGCGTATGCGAAAGTTGACTTTTTACATATGCCATATGCGAATGTTTTAATCTTTTATTTAAAAAATATTTCCTAACTTTAAATTGGTATAAAATAAAATATTGTAAATTAAATATTTTGGATGATAAAATGTTGTAATATTTCAATTAAATTTAAAGTTTTCATTTGATTCAAGTAAATTTATATTATTTCTAAATAGAATTGCAATGATATGAATTATATTTGGTGAACACAAATCGTATAATGTATTTATAATAAATTTTGAATAATAAATAAATTAAAATTTCGGTGAAAAATTAGAATATAATCTTGCCTTTTGTAACCAAGTTTGCTTTAAAAAAATTGACTTTTATTTGGTTTCAACTTAAAAACTTACTATCATTCAAAATAAAATGTCAAAAAATCAAGTTTAGTAAATTTTGGATAATAATTTTTTTTTTACATAATAAAACTTAAAATCAATTCATTTAAAGTACCATAAACTAAAATTTTTAGAATCTGACATAATATAAAGAAAAATAAAAAAATTATAATGTGGTCAATGGCCTCAGATCTCATTCGCATAGTACTACAATGAACACTGAACAAGAAAGTGCTTCAATAAAACGCTCTTAAGAGGTTGCTTCCTAGAAGGCTCTTCCAGGTTGACGGTTAGCCAATGATGCATGGGAGCCAAGAAACTTGGCATTTTTTACCATCAGGAACAATCATGTTTTCTTGCTTCCATCTAATATAATCGATCCTGCTAAACTTAATAAAACCACACTTCCTGCTAACAATGATCTTTTGGCGACCTGGGAACTTGAACTTGGCACAACGCAAAAAATAGTATTGTATAAAAGTAAGAGTTTAGAAAATTGTACATAATATAGTCTTTTTGATAAATTTTCTTTTTTTAATGTTTGCCTTTTATTTTTGTTAAACTTAAAACTATTGTATCATTTTAAAAATTCAAAAGCTCGAGTTTACTAAAGATTAAATAAAACCGAAATAAATTGTTAAGGAAAAGAAATGTAAGGCATTGTTTAAAACTAATAACAAAAGTCATAAAATAGCATAAAATAAAAGTACAATTCAATCTAATTTTTCTACTTCTTGCGCTTTTTCTCCCGAGAATCTGTCATGCAGCACTTTTTCGTCTTCTTTATGTTCCACTGTCCCTTACCCAAAGCCAGCGGTGTAAAAGGTCTGGTACCATGACTGGGGCCCTGTCTCGGGCACTGGCTCGAGCCCTCACCCTGATCAGCACCCTCATCATCATCCTAAGAAGTGCTCTCAGCATCATCAGAATTATTGGTCCTCTCATCATCATCCTCCCGATCCCGATGATTCTCCTGATCCTGATCATCCTCCTGACCATTATGGATATGGTCACCGCCTAGATGCTGACTGTGATGACCACCCCCGTAACCAGTCTGAAAGAAACCCCCTGCATTAGGATCTAGATTAATAAAATCTGAATCAAAATGAATTTGCTCAAAAGGAGGAGAGGGATGGTGGTGTGGCGATGCTGGACGGTGAGGAGACGCATGCGGGGTAGAAGATGGCCCGACAGTATCCTGGGTGGCCACAGGTTTTCTCATCCTCCCACTCCCTAACTAGAACCCGCCTCGGTCAGTCCTGGGAGGCCTAGGTGGGATATACTCCTGGGTTGGGTCAGCCGGAACAAAATCCTGGCTTGGATTCTCACTATCAGCCCAAACAGATGTCTTGCTGACAAACATTGCCTGCTGAGTCAAATCGTGCAGCTGTAGGAAGGCATTGTGATTCCAAAAATTAGCTAGATTGCGCTGTAACCCATCTAGAGTAATTGGCCGCATATTTTGCACTAAATTGACTTGGAAATTATGAGAGAAAATAAATATATGGTAAATTAAAAATATATAATAAATATATTTTATAAATTAACATATATATTGTAAATTTATATTTGTACATATAAATTAGAAATGATAACATTTTAGAAAGTTATATGTATAAAAAAAATATAAATATGGGTGTTATTAAAGAAATAGTAAAAATGTAACTTCTTCTTTTAATATTGCTTAGTTTAAGTAATTAAAAACCGAATTAATATCGTTCGCATTAGGGAAATGCGAATTCCTTTTTTTTGCATATGCCAAATGCGAGAAATGCATAAATTTCTACACTCTCAACCCTAGGTATTATTCTTTCTACCCATTTAATTTTGAGGTACATAAATCTCACGGACCCATCTACATATAATCGGGGAAATGAAAACCGGAATCAGGCAGGAAATATATGTCACCGTTTTCCCACTCGATCTGCGATATGGAATACAATCAACTGAGGAAATATTAGATCACCGTTTTTCCATGGACACCAGAATTTTTCACCATTTTGTTGATTTACATTATTGGGATATTTTCCACTCTTTTTCTGGCACTGATTTTGAAGCTGTGTGTCTAAATCTAATCGGGGTGCAAGATTACACCAATGTCTCGTGAGAACAATGGAAAATAATCGATTCTAAATGTACGTCACAGTCATTTCATCGCTCTAATATTGATAACGATTAATCACCGCAAAGAAAACTTGTAAAGAATAAGGCGTGATAATGGATGTATATGTACCATTTTCCAAAAGTCAAAGCCCTATTTTTAGTAACAAACAAAAGAAAAATCAAAGAACATAGTATAAAGAACAACCCTAAGCTTGGAGCTGTAAAGATATGATGTTAATCAAATTACTTAAAGCGGAATACCTAATTCACTTTGTTTAGCTTTGATTTATCGAATATTCCTAGGGTTGCAACCTTCATCCTTTCCGGTGATTAATTTCATCATTGCATCAGAATTTCGGAAACCTTCCAGTCCAACAGCAGAGTATCCCGGATATCCATTCCAGTCACAACTACAGCTGACTCAGTTTCCACCACATTTCTCTCTTTGCTGATCAGTGCTTCCTTAAGTTCTGTTTCTCTATCACGTAACTCAATCGCCTGCACGCAAATACAGGTTAAGCTATCAGAATCATTAACAACCAAATCAAAACTATCAGTTCAAGACTAACAATAAACAAACGAATAGTGATAGGCAAAATTTGAGAGATCGAAATGAGATGGTAAATGAAGTGCCGTTCATAAAAAGACAAAATGATTCTCATCTATTATCCCCATATCTCTATTGCTCTAGGCATCATAATCACCTTTTCGAAGTCTTCACTATCAACAGAAGCTAACTTATCTGCAGTGATACGTTCCAGCTCAATCTCCAGTAATTTTACTTCTTCTCCAACCTGAGAGGAGCAGAGGAAGGGAGTTACCTAAATGCTAAAAAACAGCTACATCGAAACCAAATAAAGATGGTGGGGGGACCTGATCATGACATTTCCTAACACGAGAACCAGCATCGTCCATCAAGTCGATTGCTTTATCTGGTAAGAACTGGTCACTAAATGAAAAAAATTGAAAAAGGAAAAAAAATGATAATCAGTATGCAATAATAATAATACCACTTAAACATCTCTAAATCTAGTGTATAGTTAATATATCCAGTCATTCATTAGAACATTAGCAGCTAAGCGAATAGGATTTTTTCAGTGTCGAAAAAATCGGGAGAACTCAGTAATTATAACAGTTAAATTGTTGTCCATCTTCAGCAAAACGATAACCGGAACCAAAACCATCAACAAGAATGGATCTGGGGAAACAAACAGTACATTGGCATTGTCCGGAGTATTAATTTCTGAACACAGAATACTTTTAACTATTTGTTGTGTAAGCATTCTAAAGGCACAGAGAATACAAAATGCTAACAGGGAAGGTATGGGGTGAAAATTATGATTATGGCTACCAAGAGAAGTAACATAGACAAGACAGACAAGTAGTAAATACAATAACCTAAACAATGCACCTGACACATTCGTCTGCGAGCTTAGCTGCTGCGACCAAAGACTCATCTGTGTACCGTACATTGTGATCAGTCTCATATCGCTGCCTAAGCCCCTTCAAAATCTCGATAGTTTCATCCACAGAAGGTTCAGGTACCTTAATGGGCTCGATATGTCTCTCTAGTGTTGGATCATCCCTGATATACAAAGCGTACTGTGCCTCGGAAGCAGCCCCAACAAACTGAAATCCATAGAATCAAAGATATCAGTGAACTCCACAGAAATATCATTATGAGTGTGAAGCAAGATTTGCAGGAGAAAAGAAAGAAAATGATGAAGCCGTAAACTTTAAGCCTCATATTCCATGGACAAAGGGGGTAAATCATCTACTCACTCCATTTATATATACACTAGAACATGTAAGAATGTGCAATCTTTCGAATCACTGCCAGAACTATAACTTGATTATTACCTGTATCTCACCACGAGATAGGGCAGGTCTTAAAATGGCTGCGGCATCAAGTGCTCCCACACCGTAAGCATCATCTCCAATAAATCTCACTTCATCAAGAAAAACTATGATTTCGTCATTTTGTTTCATCTCCTCAATCAATTTCTTCACCCTTTTTTCCCTATTTTCTTCTTGCGCAACCAGGAGTCGAATGTCTAGTTTTATGACCTGAGAACAGCAACAATGAAAAGTACATAATATAAAAAAGAACCTAAATCTCCAAAAAGTTCCACATTTTACAACTCTAAGAAATGAGTTTAATTTACCTTCTTCCCCTGCATTGACTCCGGAACATCACCATTGGCAATCCGTTGAGCAAGACCCTCAACAATAGCTGTTTTCCCAACTCCATATTCTCCAATGAGGACAGGAATGTTCTTCGACCTTCTGGCCAATGTTCGAATCACACGCCCGATTAGTTCCTGTCTTCCAATTACAGGATCCAATTTCCCCTGATTTGCAAGCGCTGTCAAATCCGTACCGTACTCTTCAAGTACAACAGGTGCTGGTTTTTTATCTTTATTTATCATTCCAATCACCAGCCTCCGAATTTCACCAAAATCTCCACCTAAATTCTCAATGACACTAACTCCAACGCCTTCGCCCAGGCGAATCAACCCGAGGAAGATGTGCTCCGGTTTGATATGAGAATCACGCAGTTGGGCAGCCTCCTTAAGGGCATTCTCCCAAACTCGGATTGCAAGCGGGGTAAAAGGGGTCCCCAAGGCCGCAACTCCATTCCCTTTCCCGATTGATTTCTCTACTTCCAAACGGGCATCTTTCAAATTGATACCAACGGATTTCAGAACCTCAGCTGGAATCCCCGTACCCAGAGAAATTAGACCTAATAATAATTGCTCCGTGCCCACAAAATTATGGCCCAAACGCCTTGCCTCCTCTTGTGCAAGCAGAACAACCATTATAGATTGCCTATTAATCCGTTCAAACGCCTTGTAAAATGATTCATTTCGGTGGTAATGGCTTTCTCCTGAACCGGAAGTAGTAGTAGTATTGTTTTCATAATCCTCTTCTATATCAAAACTTTTGCCACATCGGACGACCAAACTGCCAAACGCCAATTTAGCCGAACGGAGTCCTGTAAAACTGTTCAGATTCAACCTCAAAGGGTTTGCCGCCAAAGGAAACGTTGTGGTTGATGAGTTTCTGCTGTTGCCACTAGCATAATTAATAATCATTTTAGATTGGGAGAAATTCAACGCAGGATGCACACAAGGTAATCCGATATACTGTACTAAAGCTCTCGCCATTTCTTTTTCCCCTTTTCTCCGGCCGGTGAAAGTGGAGGCGCGCAGGAAATTTGAGGAAGAAGAAGAGGAAGAGGAGGCTTACGTGTGGATCAAGCAATGAAATCAACCCTAAGGGCACATACTAGGGCGGAGGCGGCGGGGGAACATGGTTGCCTGATCAGGGTTTTCAATAAAGAAGAGAAGAAATTAGAGATCAGTTTGTATTTTTTCTTTTTTTTTTTCCTCTTTTCCAAGGAGATCATACCATGATAACCTTACCTTTTATTTTTAATATGATATTACCTTAATTGTTATCATTCCATTCAGGAAAATAAGCCATTAGGTTAAGTTACAATAGTAATACTTCCTCCGTTAATTTGTTCTAAATTAAATTTATTGTGATTTTACAATATAAAATAATATTTTAAAAATAACTTATAATAATACATTAATTCAGAGAACATATTAAAGGTGAAAAGCACATTTTAAAACTTTTATTTTCAATTAAAAAACAAATTTAACGTAAATCAAAAATTTTTTATAAAAAGGTCCAGAAGACTATTAATTAATGAATGAATATCATTTGTCAAGGCTTTGAAAATAAAGTAAAAAGAAAAAAAAAAGATACCGTCTTATCTAGGGTTAATTACATTACAGGATCACAAGTAAAAGCCCTCATCTTCTTCCATTTACCATTTTTGTAAGCGCCTCCATTTTCTTCTCGTCACATTGATATTGCTCCCCGGCGGAAACAAAGAAGAAAGTAATTATGGCAACAGCTTTAGCTCAGTCGACCAATTTGGTTTCGTTGGCTCCGACGCTGATTAGCTCCCAATCTAAAAGGACTAATGGTAGTAGCCGCAATAGATCCTCAACCACAATTTGTGTTTCTCAGCAGGCGGATACACCTCCGAGGTTCAATTTGAACTTTTCTTCCCGACAGCGTTCGGGCAAGGCGCTGGTTTCAGATATCAAACTTCATTTCCAACAAGTGCAGCATGAGGAACAACAGCACTGTGATTCAGTCGTAGAGGATGAAGACGTTGATGATTTGATCATGACTCAGATTCTTGGTTTGTCATAAGAATTGTACATAATTCAGATTAGTTGTATATTTGTAAATATAGTTAGACTGATGTACATAATTTAATTGTATAGATTAGGTGACTAAATTACTATTTTAGCCCTCGTTAAACCTTAGCTGGTTTGGTATAAGGTGTACTGTACAGATGTAGTAATACACACTTTTTTTCCCCCAATTTCGAATACATCAGAATTAAAACCAGATCTAGGTTTTCCTCTGACAACTGCCATGGTTGATCTTGTGAGTTTTCATGGTACCAGAGCTCACAGGCTTTGATTCTGGCCAATTCCTACCGTCAATCGCTTCTCCATAGCTTCCACAAGAGTTCTACGGTTTAGTTCTTAGATCTCAAGCCTTACAATGGCGAATCGCGAAGATCGATTGACAGAAGAGCAACGAATTCAAGAAGCAAGCTTAACTCTACATGCCTCTGAACATCCTGGTATGCAACTTGTTTCTACAGCACTTACAGAGGGTAATTACTTGATCTGGAGTCGTTCGATGCATAATGTTCTTGAGTCTAAGCTTAAAATAGGCTTTATTGATGGTCGTTGTCCTGAGCCTGCTCCGAATTCACTTTTGCATTTTCGTTGGAAACAAGTTGATTCAACAGTGAAATCTTGGATCTTAGCTGCCATGTCTAGTGATCTTGTTGCTGGTTATATGTATAATCTTAGTTCTAAGCAACTGTGGGATGATCTAGCTGAAAAATATGGTACTACTAATAGCAACAAGTTGTATAAGATGCGTCAGCATCGTAGTTCAATTCGACAGGAAGACCGGTCTCTAGTACAATATTACAGTGCTTTAAAAGGAATTTGGGACGAGTATGAACATTACAGGCCGTTGCCAGCTTGTTCCCCTGAGATTTCTCGTATACTGTATGCTAGAGAGGATGAAGATAAGCTAATTGATTTTTTAATGGGGCTTAATAAGTGCTATGAGGCAATCAAGGATCAGATACTCTTAATTGATCCACCTCCAAGCTTGAACAAGGCCTATGCCATGGTATCTAAAGCAGAAAAGGAAGCAACAGGTGTTTTGACCTCACCAACAAATGAAAATTCTGCTTTTATTGCTGCTAAAGTGCCTGCTAGTTTCAATCTTGCTGCAGGAGGAATGAGCACCACGTACTCTAGTTCTTCCAAAACTATTGGTGGAGATACATCTGGTAACAATACAGCTCTAGCTGTAAAACCTTTATCTAAACCTGGTGGAACCTTCCACAATGGACAAGTTAACAAGCTGATAGGGAATAATAACTGGAAGAGAAGAAGTGATGGTGTAATTGATACCAGGTGGTGTACTTTCTGTCAGAGGCCTGGGCATGAGAAAGAGAACTGCTTCAAGATCACTGGTTATCCTGAATGGTTTAAACCAAAAACTGGTCAAGGTTTTGGCAATAATGGAGCTTTCAATAACAGTTCTGGTGGAAACGCTAATACCAGGGCCTTTGCTAACGCTGCTGAAGTTGAGTCTCCTCTTGATGCAGGGCGTAACACTGTTGGAGATGTGCAACTCATGGCTAAACAGATATCAAACCTACAACAAGAATTCAACAGGCTGTTAAAGGGCAAAGATCCACTTGGAGATCAGACTCAACACTTTGCCAATTTTGCTTACATGCAAGATTTTGCAGGTAGTACAACTTATCCTCAGCTTACTGATTCCTGTACATTTGACGGTGATCCTGGATTTTGTGATAGTGGAGCAACTGGACACATGATTCATAGCCTTGATTTGTTTTCGTTCTCCAAACCTGTCACCTCTAAAACTCCTGTAGGATTGCCTGATGGTTCTATTCAATTTGTTGAGAGGATAGGAAATGTTATTTTAAGTGACAAAATTGTCCTACATGATGCTTTATACGTGCCTACTTTTAAGTATAATCTAGTCTCAGTCAGAAAACTCTCACAAACATCAAAGATTTACTTCTCTTTTCTTCCTGATCTGTGCATTTTGCAGGACCTGTGACTGATCAAGTCCTGGGAATTGGCACAATCATCAAAGGTCTTTATGCCTTAACCAGTCTTTCTTTTAATCCTGCTGAAATACAAAAGCAAATTCAGTTACATCTTCCAAGACTATTGTTACATTGCTCAATAAATGAATCCTCAGTTTCTACCCCTCATTTTATTTATAATGTAAATGCTTTGATTGACCAATGGCATTATAGATTAGGCCATCCTTCATCTGGTGTAATGAAACACATTGGTGTATTCAACACTTCTTCAATAAAAGATGATTTTTCTTGTGATATTTGTCCATTAGCTAAGCAGCAGAGGCTTAGTTTTCCTTCCAGTTCAATTCATACTTCTTCCATTTTTGAATTGCTTCATGTGGATTTGTGGGGACCTTACTCCCATCCAACCCTATCTAACACTCACTACTTCCTTACTATAGTGGATGATTATAGTAGGAGTACTTGGACTCAATTGCTAAGACATAAAACTCAAGTTTGTCAGTTATTGGCCAATTTCTTCTAATTGGTCAAAACACAATTCTCTGTTCATGTAAAATCCATTCGCTCAGATAATGGCACTGAAATTGTAAATCAGGAATGCCAAAATCTGTTTTCTCAACTTGGTGTAATTCATCAGAAGTCTTGTGCCTACACTCCACAACAAAATGGAGTTGTAGAAAGGAAACACAAGCATCTTCTTCAAGTGGCTAGGTCTTTAATGTTTCAGTCTGCACTCCCTAAGAAATTCTGGGGAGAAGCTATTCTAGTAGCCACCTATCTCATTAACAGACTTCCCTCTTCTTTGCTTCAATGGAAAACACCTTATGAAATTCTTCATTCTAGGTCACCTTCTATTTCACATCTCAAAACTTTTGGGTGCTTATGCTATGTGACTAATGTTACTCCTCATAAGGATAAGTTTTCTCCAAGAGCTTTCAAAGGCATTTTTATTGGCTATCCCATTGGCCAAAAGGCTTATAAAGTCTACAGTCTTGATGATCATCGGGTTCATATATCCCGAGATGTTGTTTTCCAGGAACACATCTTCCCTTACAAGGTTTCTCTTACACCTCAACAATCCATTCCAGTTCCTGTAGTTCGACCTGATGATCTGAATGTCTCTTATCCTGATCTTTTGCCTTCTAATTTCCAACCTGAATCTCATCCTCACTCTGATCAATCCACTTCCACTGCTCCAATCATTAGAACCAGCTCTAGGATTAAAAGAAAACCTTACTGGATGGACATCTATACCGCATCCGCTGTTTCTGCTCCTGCGGTTCTTTCCACCATTCCTTCCTCTACTGATTTCGTACCTCCTTCTAAGTTCATACAACCTGCCACTTTTCCGTTTATTCGACAACCATATCTGCATCCCTCCTATTTGTCCTTTCTGTCTACTATTTCCAAGGTCCAGGAACCATCTTCCTATGAACAGGCTAGTCAGCTTCCTGAGTGGGTTGAAGCTATGTAGAAGGAGCTGAATGCCTTAGATATTAATCATACTTGGGACTTGACCACACTGCCACCTCACAAGAAAGCTATCGGTTGCAAGTGGGTTTATAAAACCAAATATCTTCCCGATGGTTCAGTTGATAAGTGTAAAGCCAGGTTGGTGGCAAAGGGTTTTAATCAAATAGCAGGTCAGGATTTCTATAACTCCTTTTCCCCTGTGGCCAAGCTTGTTACTATTAGAATTGTTATTGCTCTTTCTGCTACCAAACAGTGGCCCCTACACCAATTGGATATCAATAACGAGTTCCTTCATGGTTATTTAGATGAGGAGGTCTATATGCAGGTTCCTCCTGGTTACCTCTCAGCTCAGCCGGGTCAGGTTTGTCGCCTCAACAGATCTTTATACGGGTTAAAACAGGCGTCTAGACATTGGAATCAAGAGCTTTCACGACAGCTCACCTCTTTTGGTTTTGTTCAGTCTCAACATGATCATTGCCTGTTTATAAAGCATGCTGGTTCTGATATTCTGATTTTATTGGTGTATGTGGATGATATCCTTCTTACAGGTTCTTCCCTGTCTATAATCACTGATACCAAACGGTTTTTGGATGCTGCTTTTACTATCAAAGACCTGGGCAGTGCTAAATATTTCTTTGGTGTTGAACTCACCAGATCATCAGACGGTGTTTCCTTAAATCAAAGGAAATATGCCCTTGATATCATTGACAGTGTTGGTCTTCTTAGCAGCAAAACCGTCTCTACTCCTCTCCCTCACGGACTCAATCTTCAAGACGAAAAGAGTCCATTACTTGCTTCACCAGATCAGTACCGACGCTTGGTTGGGAGGCTTCTTTACCTTGGCTTTACCAGGCCTGACTTGGCCTATTGTACTCAACAACTCAGTCAGTTTGTTCATTCCCCTAGAGATGTCCATTGGCAAGCTGCTCTACATGTTGTTCGATATCTCAAGGGCTCCCCTTCTCTTGGTTTGTTCTATTCCGCCTCAGCTGGTCTCAATCTTTCAGCCTTTTCGGATGCCGATTGGGCCACTTGCACTGAAACCAGGTTCTCTTTAACAGACTTTTGTATATTTCTTGGTTCCTCTCTTGTTTCCTGGAAATCCAAGAAACAGACCATTGTTTCTCGTTCTACTTGTGAGGCTAAATATAGAAGTATGGCATCCACCATTTCTGAACTTCAATGGCTTTATTATATTCTGTCTGATCTACATTTACCTCCCTCTCTTCCCATTCCTTTTGCTTGTGATAATCAAGCAGCTATTCACATCACAGAGAACCCCACTTTTCATGAACGAACCAAGCACCTTAACATTGATTGTCATGTGGTGCGTAATCAATACAAAAGAGGATTCATTCAGCCTGTCTACATCAGCAGTAAACTTTAGCCAGCAGACCTCTTCACCAAATCCCTCCATTTTCCCCAATTTTCTTTCCTACTTTCCAAGCTTAGTTTGGGTGATGTTCATCGCACCCAGCCTAAGCTTGACGGGGGGATTTCAGATATCAAACTTCATTTCCAACAAGTGCAGCATGAGGAACAGCAGCACTGTGATTCAGTCGTAGAGGATGAAGACGTTGATGATTTGATCATGACTCGGATTCTTGGTTTGTCATAAGAATTGTACATAATTCAGATTAGTTGTATATTTGTAAATATAGTTAGACTGATGTACATAATCTAATTGTATAGATTAGGTGACTAAATTACTATTTTAGCCCTCGTTAAACCTTAGCTGGTTTGATATAAGGTGTACTGTACAGATGTAGTAATACACACTTTTTTCCCCCAATTTCGAATACATCAGAATTAAAACCAGATCTAGGTTTTCCTCTGACAACTGCCATGGTCGATCTTGTGAGTTTTCAGCTGGATAGTTCGGTCATCCGATGTGGCAGTGGCGAAAGTTTTGAGAATTCCATCAACTGTTCGGGAGAAAGCTGTTTTAGAAGAACTTTGAATACACGAAAAACGCCACGAATGTCATGAAGCATGCTGAAGATGAGGCAAGACGTTTGGGGCGTAATTTCATTGGAACGGAGCATATGTTATTGGGATTTGTGGTTGCGGAAACGGGCATTATTGTAGCAAAAGTCCTGAAACCCTTTGGGATTAATTTAAGAGATGTCCGCGTTAAAGTAGAGCAAATTTTCGGAAGAGGGAGAGGATCTGTGACCACGGGGGAGATCCCTTTCGGCCGCGCGCGAAGCTGAGTTTTGGAATTTGCAGAGAACGAGTTGATTCGTGAGGGGGAATGTGTTGGTGCTCTTGTTGCTAAGATATTAAGGGAGATATTAAAGGGTGATGATTTGGGTGAAATTCAGACATGGATGAAGGAAATGGTGTTTAGCGCAGTGGAATTAGGATTAAGCACATATGCAGAGATGGATGATGGTGGTAATATATTCGAAAAATATTGTACAAATATGACACAGCTTGCCAAACAGGGGAGATTGGATCCTGTAATTGGAAGGCAGGAACAAATTGAGGGTGCTTGACTTTTGGGTGAGTCAAACCCAAAATTGTGGAACAAAAAATGTGTAGGGTTTAAAAGCTGGACAAATATAATGTTCTCGCGCTTTCAAAACGCGAAACAAGAAAATTAGATTAACAATTCGCGTATGTGAAACGCGAATCCTTTTAATTATGTTTTCCCCAAATTCAACCGGGACGAAAGGAAAAAAAAATTGAATTAAAAAAGGAAAACCATTTTTCGCTTTTTGGAAACGCGAAAAATATAAATAGCATTTCAGAAACGCGAAAATAAATTTTAAATTTTAAATAAATTGCGGTTTGAAAATAACAATTTAACGTTTTGAAAACGCGAAAAAAATTTTCTAGCGTTTTGAAAGCGCGAAAAATGATTTTAGCGTTTTAAAAACGCGAAAATATCCAGAAAATCTCCTCATCCACTCATTCGGCTCCACGTGTATTTTGATGATAAGTCTTGAGTGTATTCGCATTTTGTAAACGCGAAATTTAAGATTCATATACCAAACCAAGCAAAATAACAGCATTTTTTCGCAAACTTTTTTCAATCTGTTGAGCTCCGATTTTTCTTCCCAAACTTCTTTCATTCTGTTGAGCTTCGATTTTAAGTTTCACTCCGGAGGACTTGACTGAATCCGTGAAAGCTCTCATTTCCTTCAAATTGAGAAGTTGCTCCGAAGTTAAAGAAGATTGATTTGAGTCCTGAAGCCTATTTAAAACCCTAAGTTTCAACATTCAGGTAAGTTTATTTCGTTATAGAAAACATGTACTTTTTTATGCCTTATTGTGAGCATAGGATGATTTACGCATTAGTTAATAAATAATTGTGATTTAGTCAATTAACGGTGATTTTTTAATTAGCCTGATAAAGTGAATTGAAAGAAATATTAGTTAATAGAATGTTAAATGAGATGAGCGTTGTAAATTATTGTATATCGATTTCTGTAAAATAAAATTAAATTATAATAATGATATTGAATTTTTGAATATTTTTAGCATAACAATAAATTATGTAATTCGGGCATAAGGTTTAGATTTAATATTAATTTTTAGCATAGAAATGAATTTGTAACTTCATTATACGGGGTAATTATAGTTGTTCTTTTGAAATTATTAAATCTGTAAACGGGGTAAATACTGTTTCCGCAAAACTAAAATTCAAAATGTATTCTAGTGTTCTGATTTCGTAGGAATTGATTTTGCAGGCCGCAAATGTCTTTTACGGAGACAGTTCGTCTGAAAGTATACTGGAATACTACTAATACAACTGAACCTGATGGGACTATCACGGTACAGCGGGATGCACCGGACCGTTATCTTATCATTGATCGTATGTTAGATTTCTCGAAACTTGTTGATAAGGTATGTGGTGTGATGGAAGTTGATAGAGAAGGGCTGTATATTGATTTTTCTTTGGTATGGACAGAGAGGTCAGGAAAAAGGTCTCGTGTGCACATTAATGATGATGATACTGTTCGGTTCATTTATCTTTGTGCTGATAAATGGTCAGAATTGTACCCTGAAAATGTTGAGAGAACAGGCCATGTTTATGCAAGTACATCTGGCCAGGATATTGGTGCCAGCACTAGTGGTGGTAGAACAGTTGAAGACAATGAAGATGAAGATGGAGATGGAGATGAAGATGAAGATAAAGATGAAGATGCAGATGAAGATGAAGATGGCGGGGGTGTCGAAAGCAGTGATGATGAGTACGTCCCATCGGATGAGGACTCAGATGATGACACTGATTTTGAGTCATCTTCTTCAGTCCCATATGTTTTTGACGACATAAGTGGATGGGACAAGACTTTAGAGGAAGTAGATTGTGATGGGATTAAAATGTGGGATGGCAATCCGTTGACGCTAGGCCTTGATATACATTTCGCCAACAAGCCTGAGGCACAAGCGACAGTGGGAGAATGGAACTTGGTACATGGTCGCACTTTTCGGGTGAAAACAAGCTCTAAACGAACATGGTATGTCGAATGCGAGACCTGTGGACCCAAATATCCGAAAGAGCATCTTCACGGCTATGATTGCCTGTGGAAGGCGCGAGTTTCGCTACAGAAGGCCACCGGTACTTGGAAAATGGTGGTATGGTCCGATTCCCACAACTGTCTTGGGGCAAACAAGAGAAACGAGTCCCGAAACATCACGTCTTCTATGATTGCTAGACTAGTTGCCCAAAATGTGCGAAAACATCCAGATTTTGCAGTTGCCCAAATTCAAATAGAAGTTTTGAAGAGGTACCAAGTCGAATGTAGCTACAAGAAGGCATGGCATGGTAGAAGAAAAGCTCTTGAGGCTCTGTATGGTACATGGGAAAGTAATTTTCAACAACTGCCCAGCTTCCTTGATGCATTGTTCATGTCAAACCCGGACACCTGTGTGCAATTCAAGTTTAAGGAAAATTCAGGAAGCTCACAAAGGTTTGTATGTAGGTATGTTTTCTGGGCATTTGGGCCATCTATACAGTTATTTCATGCTTGCTGGCCAGTAATAACCATCGATGCCACTCACCTGCGAGGATCCTACAAAGGAAAACTAATTGTGGCATGCGTAAAGTGCACAAATGGCACAATTGTTCCCATCGCATATGCTCTTGTGGACGAAGAGACTATACACAGCTGGAAATGGTTTTTGAAGTATTTGAAAAAGTTTGTTCTACAGGATAGGAAGACCTGTATTATCTCTGATCGAAATTAGGGTATCCTTACTGCCATAGACATCATGTTGCAAAAACTTCCAGAGATGGGAGTCCACCGGTATTGTCTAGAGAATGTTAAAGCAAACTTGGTTGGGCATTTTCGAAAGGAGAAACTGGGAGGCAACTGTCAAATGATTGGTTCAATGACGCAAAAGACAAGGTGTTTGGCAGAGTGGCAAAAATTAGAAGAAAAAAATGAGGCTGCAGCTCGTTGGCTTCAAAAGCTGGGTGTTGAGAAATAGACCTGTTTACACGATGGAGGGCATCATTGGGGAGAAATGACCACTAACATTTCAGAGAGTTTCAATAATGTGCTGAAAGGTGGTAGATTCTTCCCGATCACAGCTTTGATCCTAGCATCCTTTCAGAAAAGCAACAATCTGTTTCAGACAAACATTGATATGATCCAAAAATGTCAGAATGTTCTACCTCCTAAGCCAATGAAACTGTATGAAGAGGCCCGGAAGAAATCATTGAGGCAAAAGGTCAACCGGTTTAGCAAGAGAAACCAGAAGTACGAAGTGGTTACAATAGCACCTGATAATCAACCATGGAAGGCTGAGGAGAAGCAAGTTGTGCTCTATGCAGATCGAGAGTGCACTTGCGGAAGGTGGCAGACTTACAGATTTCCTTGTTCCCATGCACTTCGAGTTGCCCGTGAGCTAGGTGATGACCCCTTCCCACTTTTTGATCCATGTTACACTACGCAGCAATGGTACCAGCAATTTTCTGGAGAATTCAACCCAATCATGGAACCATGGCCAAAGGCAACGTGGCAGATCAGGCCAGATGACACTAAACTTGTCCACCATGCTGGCCGGGTTCGGAAGCGTGTGAATCGGAAAAAACGTGTGATGGATTATAGAAGCAAATCTGGCCAGCGAAGACTCCAAACATGTAGTTTATGTAAGCTACAGGGCCATAATGCCAGGGCTTGCCCATATGCGAGAGTTTGCGCACGATGTGGAAGTTTGGATCATGATGCTGTGGAATGCCCATTTTCACATCCACCTGCTGACAAGACCGCTATTGATAAACTTTACGATCCATATGGAATTCGTGGTGTGCCTAATATCAATTCTGATGATTCTGATGATGCGTAGTGATGATTTTCCTTAAGATGCGTAGTGATGATTCTGTTAGTGTTTGTATTTGTATGTTGTTTTGAACATTCATGTAATAAACCTCAGAGGATGCATTTGTGTTAGTGTGTTGGTCATTATGTATTACAAATGTAGTAGTAATTATTAGTGTGTTGGTCATAAACGTTAAATTAGTTGTGTAAGTAAAATTATTTGTCAAAATTACCAAAATACCCCTGGACTCCAGTATAAAATAATCTGTTTTAAACTAAAATCGCGTTTCTGAAACGCGAAAAAAGTGTTACCATAAGGAATTTTCTGATGCTGCTGAGAATAGAGAAATTGAACAAGTTATTCGAATACTGTGTAGGCGGACCAAGAACATACCTATCATCCTTGCAGATGCTGCTGAGAATAGAGAAATTGTTGAGGGGCTTGCTCAACTGATTGCCAATGGTGATGTGCCTGAGCCGATTCAGGGGAAGAAGGTAAGAATCCCTTTTCTTTTCTTTTATTGAAAGTTTAAACTGCTGGGTATTTTGAACTTTCAATTGTTGCTCTCTTCAGGTTATAGATCTAGACGTGACATGCCTACATATGGTGGAAGAAATTGAGAAAAAATAGATAAAGAAATTGATTGAGGTGATAAAACAAAGTGATGATATCATACTCTTTATCAACGCTTGGCACGCTTTTACCGGAGCTTTCCCGGAAGCAATTGATTCTGCAACTATTTTAAGACCTGCTTTATCTCTCGGCGAGCTAAAGGTAATCCATTCGAAAATTCAGGCAGAGAAACAAAAAGATCCGCATTTTGTCTATTACATTTACTTCTTAGTTCATTGAATTTGAGGTTGCAAGTTTCCTTTCTTCTTTCCTGATCTAATCCTCTTTTGTAGTCATAATCATATTATGCTTCAATTTTTATTTTTTTTTTCAATTTGATGGTGCATGGGGGATCATACTTTTCCGTATTTACTGATATCTGGTTTTGATGGATGTCAGTGTATTGGGGGTACTAATGAGGAGTTGTACGAAGCCTTCATTAAGGATGATCAATATCTTCAGAGACTTGTCGCGCCAGTTAAGGTGGTTGAATCTTCGGTGGATTGATGAACCAAAACCATTATCTGCGACCTGCGGGTACCTTGTGATTGTCCCTTCCGGGGTTCTTAATTAGTTTTTGATTTCTTTCAATGAATTTTTAGAAGTAGTTATA